TTAATAAAATAAAATGAGGGTAGATAATACCAAACTATCATTGTAAGACTTAGCATTTATTACCTTTCTATATAGCAGAGCCGTCATAAATACCACCTAGAACAATGCCACTAAAAGTTAGGTAATAAACTTTTCTCGCTTCCTTTATGCTCACAAACCGCGCTTGGCTTCGAGAGATTTGCTCTCCAGTTGTCGTTTTCATTCCCCGTGAGCAAATAACCCACGACTTTCCTATTTACTGGGCCGTAACGTCAGGTTTTGCGCGTCGCCGCGGTAGCGATCTGACATTCCTGGGTCTGTTTCGTAGGACGTGACAACAAGCCCACGCCATGTAGCCACAAAAGGCCCGAGAGTTTTATTGTCGATATGTCTTTCCTGCTCCACTTTTACGATACTGGGCCCACAGCATCAAAACACTGACGAAAGATCACTAGCGTCCTTGCACAAAGACAAAACCCCTGTAAACGTCCACAAAGCCGTAACCTCACCCAGTCTAAGTCTGTGATGTCAAGTACGAATTCTTAGTCACACGCGACGTGGCTGCTAGCCAATTCCATTATACTGGTGCGCAGTGGGCTGACGTCAAACTATTCGATTTCGCATCTGTGACCTCACGATCAAAGCACGTTTGCAAGGTTGCTGCAACTAGGGGGCCAGGGAAGAGTTGGAGCCACCAATTTTCTGAGAATTCGACATTGACTCTATGGACGTTCCCGGGAAAGAAACAACTAAACGCGGTTATCGGCGCCCAGCTTGGGAGGTCCCCGCTGTCCCTGCGCCTAGACAGGTGTGTCGGTAGCACCGGCACGCACCATCACCAAAGGTGTATCGACAGTCGGTCACAGCGACCGCCTAGATCGCCCACGACCCGCAATCTACAGCCCCGAACCCACAGACAAGACACGCGGAAAGGCGCCGACCCCGTCCGGTCACGGGTGTCCCAGCTGCACCGAGCCCCCGACGGATCGCTGAAGCAGCCCGCGGAGCGGCCGGTAAGGCGCTCTGGGCGGAGGCCGCTGCACGGATCAGCCCGCTAATATGCGGCTCACGCCCGCCGAGCTGATCGGACCGGCCCATGTGAAGGGTGCAGGTGGCCCGCCGGTCGGCGTTGTGGGCGGATAGTGGAGCGGCGTCACGGTTCAGCGCTCCGTGATTATATGCGGCCGTGATCAGGTCTTTACAGCGAAGCAGGTGCGGCCGCCGGTCGGCCAAGACGGCCGGTTTGGGCTGGCTGGAGCGCAGGTTCCACACAATTGGCAAACGAGCCTGAACTATTCCCAGCTTGCCTCCCACGTCAAGACCCGGTGCATGCAATGAGCGTCCTTGGTTACCATAAACAAATAATGCATATGCTTGCTGCTAACAGTTGAAGACATTTGTACATCAAACGGCCCGGTAGGTGCGTCGTCCCTCACACCACAATTTGCACCGTTGGCCTTTGATTGAGTGGGACACCACCAAGAAAGATCACTATCACTATTTTGTTTCCGCCTTGAAGAAAACACACAATTTGCCTGCTCCGACAGCCTAGCTGTGGGCATTCCGCCACCCGCGGTGCCCGCAACGTTCCGTCACTTGCGCCGGCAGCCACATGGCGTCAGGAGGGCATTCCAGCTGAATTAGGGGGAGGGGAGGGGTAGCCACTACGCCGGCACATCAAATTGCCAGTCCGGGGCCACAAATATCACACGGCGTGAGCGCTGTAATGAGGTGTTATGAGCCTTCCGCAGAGACAGCAGCCCTGTGTCGCCGCCCTGGTCATGCCTCTCCGTAGTCAACAATATACGGTATAAACATGCAATGTTTAAATCACGACAAACCTCGACCATCTCTATCAACCGCAGCAGAAAGCGTGCGCTCCTGTCGGCGCAGGCGCAGAGGCGCCTCACGCACAGCGCCTGCGCCGTCACGCAACTGAAGAAAACAGCACGGTCTGTCGACGCATACGCTCCCCCGGTTCCGGAGCGTCGTATCTCGACACTCGGCAACGGTCCGCGTGAGTCACGGAAGCGGACCGCGGCCACCTTTTCCGGCCGAGGGCGCACCACCCCCACCGCTGCAGTTATAAACTACAGACACCGTTACACCGCATTTGAATATTCAGTGTCCAGGCCGAGCTCCCCCGTGTCGCATGACGTCCTTGCAGCCCCGAGTCGGCCCAGCATCGCAGGCTTTGCCGGTAATTGCTTGTCGCGCTTGAACGGGGAGGGGTTCCTTCGAACGCGAGGCACGCGGTATGGCAGCGCGCGCGTGCCGGCGGTCGGCGGCGGGGCGGGGACGGGGGCAGGGGCGGGGGTGGACGCCCGCCAGGGCCTGATCCCCAATCGCCGCTCGCGCTCCGGTGAGCGTGAAGCAATCACGCCACGCCGCCGGCCGCGCCGACTGACTCTGGCTTTGGATCGACGCCGGAGGGCTATCGGCTTGCTCCCGGCTCCGGCAGAGGCTCGTTTTGGGTGAACGACAGCATGTGCTAAGACCGCGCGCTCAGAGGCATTGAAGTCATGACAGCGAGGAATACGCCCAAGAGCATCGTCTCGGTGTCATTGCAAGGCCTATTTCATGGTTAATGCATCGTCACTGAAGGGATGCCGTTTGCCACGAGGCGTGCAGCGCATAAACGCCAAGACTAGTGGTGTTTGTTTTGACCTCGGGAAGTCTTCAACTGCTTGATCGGCTCCTTTTCGCCCTTCCGACCGTATGAATCCCCTCAGGTTTGAACGATATTCCCGCAATCTCCGATCGGACCAGTTCACGACAGTGCAACGAAGGCAAGAAGCACAAAGTCAAAAGCGTCCGATACTCGTTCCAACTCATCGGGTTAGTCCCCCGATTTGTATAGATACATAAACCGCTCTGGAATGTAGTCGCAGCCGCAAGGCTCACTCCCCAACAGGTCTCCTGCACTCTGACGGCGGCAGCCAACTACTGCCAGTAGACACTTCTCCCTGTAGCAGGCCCTGCTCGTCTTTGCGTCGGCCGCCGGTGTCGGCGGCGCGGCGCAGCGGGTCGTCTGACCGCGGCGCGAGAGCGGGCCGCCCCCTGACCGGCCGCCGTCACCAGGTCAGCGGCGGCGCGCCGCTCGGCCGGCACAGCCCTCTGGCCGCAGCCCGCGCCACTGAACCGTGACGGAGGCGGCCGGGCCGCGCCTCGGCCGGCGGCGCGGAGGAGGGCGTCAGAGGTGCCCAGGACCGAACGGACCAATCAGACCAGACCAGACCAGACCAAACCAGACCAGACCAGACTGAATTGGACCAGACCGGATCAGATCAGATCAGATCAGATCAGATCAGATCAGATCAGATCAGATCAGACCAGACCAGACCAGACTGAATCGGACCAGACCGGATCGAGCTGGATCAGATCGGATCAGATCGGATCAGATCAGATCAGATCAGTTTAAATCAGATCAGATCAGACCAGACCAGACCAGACCAGGATCGGATCAGACTAGGACCCTGGCCAGACTCAGAGAGTCGCTCACAGGGGCCGGGTGCGACCCAGCGGAGTAGAGCGCTCCAGCAGCGGCCGCACTGAAACCACACACAGCCGCTGACGGCGGACAGGCCGCCGGAGCGACACCGGCGTCGAGGAGCGAGCCCGTCAGCGCCCGATATAAGCCGCTGGCTTCGCTCTGCGTGTAACGCTAATGGCGCCACGCCCCGTCCTGGGGTGAGGTGAGCGATGGAAGGCTGGCGGAAGCGAACAGCTCGCGGTCGCCGGGCTCTGCGGCAGGGACTGCATAGTCATGATGCGCGCGTCGCGGTTTGCACTGCGCGGAGCGTCCAACCGTTACTGGGAGGATCGTTTGAAAAGAAAAAGCGTGGGAACGGCGAGCTCACGGCCACTGCTATCGTTGCGACCAAGGCCGGCTGGGTTTGTTTCCGATGGAGACGGTTTCGTTTTTGCGTGTCAAACCATTAACATGAGGCTTTCGCGGTTAAAGAGGACGCGCGAGTTTTCTGCCGTACTGAAGAGCAGGGACGGCAGGGAACGCCTTCACGCAACCGTGACTTCTGCCACGCCTCGGGTAAGCGACATCGGCATAACCCACAGAGCGACGAAAGCCCCTCACCCGCCCGCAGTTCGAGTGCTCTGCCCCTTTTCCTTCCCCTTCCCCTCTCCGCCCCCATCCTCCCCCCCCCCCCCCCCACCCTCACTAAAGAGCCTCCCGTCACAAGCCGGCCAAATCACGTGATCCACGTGACCGCCACGGGGCGGTCGACCGGGTCGGCCAGGTCACGCTGCGCTGTCAGGAGATCAGACCACGCCCAGCGACCGGAAGCCGTGACCGGGCCACCGGGGGAGAGGGGGGGGGGGACACGCCCCGGTACGCAATCATCCCACGGTCGCAGCATGTCTTTCCCTGTCCAGGCATTTGTATCGAGGCATTTCTGGTCGCTTTCCCGGGCCGACCCGGCCCAGCGCTGCCACATCAGTTTCGAGCGGCGGCCCGCAAACGCGCACCCGAAACACGCCGGCAGGAGTCAGCGGATACACATATCAGCCGCAATGTGCCGCACCATTCGCCGCAGTTGCGTTGATTGGATGTCGTGGATCTCAGGGAAACACGCCGAATCCGTGTTCCGCCGTCTTATTCCAGAGAATTCGATTGCTTTGCTTGGAAATGTGCTGTTTCAGCTCAAATGTCAGAAGGAACGAGACTGCTGCAGATGTCTGCGACGTGGATTTGCCGGTTTTTCAGCCCGCGGATTAGGGTTTCAGGGGGAACACTTCACATTGATAATCCGCCGTATTATCCACAAAACCTTTGCTGTTCTCGAAATGTGGTCTGTTCGTCCTCCTTTCAGCTCGCCTTTTGCCAAGGCGAGAGACAGGCGACGCCACGTAGCCTCAACAGCTGTGTGCGTCGTAAAGCTCCAACAAAGACGACCAAGCATTCCAATTTCAGCGGCGTCGAGACGACTGCAGACGTTACTGACGTCACCAGGGAGGGGAGGAGGGGCGAGCGGACCGACTGGCTCTTGTACTGGCGTACTCACCGACTGACTCTCGGCGATGAAGCGCTCCAGGATGTCGGTCAGCGTGCCGGCCTTGGACGTGTGGAAGGCCTGGCGGGCGCCGCCCTTCAGCACCAGCTGAACCGACGAGCCGCGGCGTTCCGACGCCGTGGCGATCTCCTCGAACCTGCCGCAGCCGGTGCTGGTCACCATGACGTCGCCGATGACGGCGGGAGAGGATGGGGGGAGGGTGGGAGCAGCGCGGCGCTGGGAGCGCAGAGGTCAGAGGTCATGACAGCGACGCTGAACTGCGGGTGGCGCGGGTCGTATCACGGGTCATGACGGCGTGTAAAGTAGATAAGGCGCACCGCTGTTGAACATCACGATTTTGCAAACAATGCAAGCAATGTTTTAGTGAAGGAGATGAAAACCACGACGGCGTTGATTGCACGACATCATTGTTTGCGTTATCACCTAACCTGGCATAATAACGGCAACAAGTCTCCACACCTCAGTGCAGGGCAAATCTCCCAAAAACAGTCGAGATAGTGGAGAGACAAAACCATACCCATAGCGGGACCCATAGCCGCAACCCATAGCGGAACGCCCGCCCTCGTCGCCGTGCCGAGCGCACGACGTGCTGACGGACGACCGAGGTCCCGCACGAGGCCCGCACACACCGCCCCACGTCGCCGGCGAGGTACCCGCCCATCCCGACACCCGGCCCTGCGGCGCCGCAGCACGCCGTGTGTCCCATGTGCGTGGCCCGGCCCACTGAGGCGATACAGAACAGCCGGCGACAGTGGAGGGCTCGCCCAGCGAACAGCAGCCGATGACAGCGGAGGGCTCGCTCAGTGAACAGCAGCCGGCGACAGCGCACGGCTCGCCCAGTGAACAGCAGCCGGCGACAGCGCACGGCTCGCCCAGCGAACAGCGGCGAACAGCAGCCGGCGGGCCTCGCAACGACTGCTGATCGCTGCAATACGCCCCATACGCACCCGACAGTCCGCAGTCCGCAGTGTCCCACAGTCTGCAGCACTCCACAATCCGCAGTGGCCCCCAGTCCAGGGCAGCCCACAGTCCGCAGCGCCCCACAGTCTAGAGCGGCCGCCAGCTCACAGTCGGTCGGGTCGGGCTGGCCGGTGCGGGGCTGACCGGTACAGCCTGCGGCAGCCGGCGGTAGCGGTCCGACTGACCCCCAGGCCAGCCCGCCGCCGTCCGGCGCCGCGGCGGCAGACGCTGCGCGTCCGCTAGCTGTCGTGACCGCGAGTCGAAACGACTTTTTACGGTGCGGAAGACTCCGCCACGACCACTGGTCAGGAGCTCCCCCTCCCCCTCCCCCTACCTCGCCCATGGGTCAGGAGGCGGTCAGGCACCGACGCCAGGTCAAGAGCTCCCCTCCCCCAACCTTAACCAGTGGTCAGAAGGCGGTCAGGCCCCAAAGCCAGGTCAGACGATCCTAACGACAACCCCAGGTCAGGACGCAGCGAAGGGTGCGCCGGGTCGGGTACCCTCCGGCGGCTTGCTGACCCCTCCCTCTCCTCCCTCCGCTCCCTCTCCCGCAGCCCCGCCCGGATTGACCCGGCCCACACACCGGCGCTGAGCCCTGTCCAGAGCTGCCGATAACGGTCAGTGCCGAGCACGGATGCCGAACGGGATAAAACGGGCGCGTGCGCGCACGCGGCGCCTCCGTTTACGGCGTGAGCCCCGTTCGCGTGCTGTGCTTCACGTGCGTTACGTTCAGGAGCGCGTCGCGCCCACCTAGCACGCTTCACCCCCAGTGGGTTCTCCGCGCTTTCCAAATTGTTGTGTTGTCTTCGTGATGACGGCCTGTGTCAGACCATTACCGCCGCGTCGGCCGACTGAGGTCTTGACGCCGAGTGCCGTGCACGGTACAAAGGCCGTGCTTCTCGCTGGTCGTTCATTTTACACGGCCCGAGCTCGAGCGCTTCGGTTCGTGCAGACAGGAAACTGGCGGGGATATCTTTAGGAACAGCGGCCGTGCCTTGACCTCTAGCCCTCTGTTGCGTGGCGAAGAGACGGCCGTCGTGTTCCATCACCACGAACTGGGGAACTGATGCTTACAGCGATTGTGATCTCAGAGCTCGCTTTGCCAGGGGTGCGTGACGGGGCTCGGTTGATAGCGTCATTCCACTTTTCGGTCAGCGGCTTTGGAGACTATGACGCCAATGAGGTAAAGCGCTCGATCTGGTCTGTTGTCTCACAAAGCGCCGCCACAATGCGTCTTTGAAGTTAAACTGGCGCAACTTTACAACCACAGCTGTCTGCAATCAAGCGGTAGTAGTCGCTGGATGTCGTGGGATCAAGCGTAGTGGTCGTTGTTGGTAGTGGGATGACGTGGATCGGGTCGATGGTTTGTTCAGCGCCAGATGCTGGTGATTCATCTTTATTCTCAAAGTTTTACAATTTCCTCGTCGCAGCTCAAACCTATAACATCAGGCACAACTCATTGAGTAGCGCATTTACCATCACAACACATTTTCTACAGTCGAACTGTCCGGCCTGACCTTACAACCCCTCTCCTTCAGCACGCTTTGTGCTCATCCCATGTTCCGTGACAACCAACCAGTTATGATAAGTACCAACCAGGAGGGCGTGGCGGCCGCTTACCCTGGGCAGCGCTCGCACCAGAGCCTGAATAAGGCAAACGTCTTTGTCTGACCTCTGATCCCACGGCTCACGACCTTCCAAGGGTGTCCAGGAGCCGGAGGAAATCGAGCCTCGACTTGGTTTCCCCTCCAGACGCTCAACAGAGCGCCGTCGCTCGTTTCACGCTCCGGCAAAATCCCCACGTGCCGCGGCAGACCACCCGGTGGCTGGGCGGGCGGGGCGGGGGGGGGGGGACGGCTGCCTGCGGAGGAGGGCAGCGGCGGCGGAGGGCAGGGGCAGACGGCCCGGCGGCTGGGCAGGAGGCCTGCCTGCCCAGCGGGGGACAGCGGCGTCGCCCCGGCCGTCACAGACGGCCGCAGTCGCCACCGGAACGCCATCAGCGCCCGCTGACTCACACAACAATAGCACCAGTGACGTCACCGCCGCGGCCCGCCGGCGTGCCGCCTTTGTCGGGCGTCGGTCCGCGGCCGCCTGCCGCGGACCGCCGTGACCGCCAGCTCGCAATGACAAAGACAGTGACCTGCGCGGCGCAGGGCAGGCCTCGACGCGCGGATCGCGCGGGGGACCCTCGCCACGTGACCCGTCCTCCCGCGCCGGCGCCGCGCCACGAGAGACGGGCCACGTGACGAGTCCGGTACGCTACGCGTCACGCGGGCGCCTAATTCCACATTCGCGAGGCAGGGAAACGGCTCACTCCTCCATTGTTGCTGCACGGAGGAACAGACACGACAGGCGGTCGTTCACCAGGAGCGGCATGTTCTAACGTGCTGACGACATTGAGGCGTCAGGTCTTGCTAACGACGGCACTTAAGCAATGGCTGAGATAATGTACCGCAGCTGGTCCAGACTTGCCAGGGCCGCAGGCGTGCTGGGACTAAGCAGCCTTCCGGCCTTGATGGCCGGCACTATGATCTGAACTCGCCTGATGGGAGCGGAGTGACGGCAGACAAACGCCGGCAAACAGACTGCACCACCGACCACTGATCACTGCGGGTGCATTCAGTCTGCACACCCGCAGACGCCATGTACGGGAGCGCCGGTGGGCTGTGAGCTGCATACCAATGAAACCAAACCGCGGCCATACTGCGCTTGTTACACGGCTTGGCCGTCGACGAGCGCAATTGTCCTGGTCTACCTATGGGACCGCCCAGACCGCATCCAGGCCCTAGGACCACACGTGCGCTTCCCAGGCGACTCAGGCAGTCCCGTGGGACCGGCCGCACGTGGGACAAAGCGAACGGGTCAGGCTATTGCCCGCCTCACAATCTCGGCCTCACAAACTCTGTCATGGCGGGGGGGGGGGGGGAAGGCGTCCCTGTTCGCCCTGGGAATAAGCGGCGCTGAAGTGGTTTGAAACATGTGGCACGTCAAAGGATCGCCTGGAAAACAGGTTTATGTTTCAAATGTTGCATTGCGTGTGGAAAATTTCGTTTCTGATGGCACTTGATCAACCTCAACCATTCATATACGCCTGGAACATCGCCAGTTTTGTGATCTGTCTCTGGCCGTAAAGAAATGGACGTGAGCGCTGCTAAGTATAACTTCCGCTAGGCGATATTCAGCTCTCATTGGGACCGTGTAAATGTCTAGCTTTTCCAACTTGCAAAGTAAGACAGGAGCCCCCGGCAAAAACAACGATGCCGTAGTAATTAGGAGATTATATCGAGTGTTCCCACACATTTGAATATGCCCCCGTTTGTTTGCAGGACCAATTTTGAGACAGTCTTTCTTGCAGTTTCAGACAGTTTCAGTCTTGCAGGTCTACTTCCCCGCAGTCCACGTTTCGTGAACTGCGGGGAGCCTATAAGAGCACCTCAAAACACGAGCTAGGCGATGATGACAACGATGACGACGATGACGACGATGACACCGACGCCGCCCTGCTTACGGCACTCTGCACCAGCCGCCTATACGGTCAGCGCTCTCGCACACGGCCATGGAGCGCGAGCTGGTCGTGCTCGGGGACAAAGCCCTGCCGCGTCACCCCTGCGCCGCGCCCATTCCGCGCGCCGTCCACCGGTAACCCGTCACAGTCCGTCACGAGCCTGCGCGGCGCCCGCCGTCGCTGCAACAATGCAACAATGCGGCGCAGCCGGCAGAGCGCAACAGAAGACGAACGGCGGGTGGCGTGGTCAGGCCGAGGCCGGTCACGGCAGGGGTCAGAGTAAGACGCGTGAAGGGAGATGGGTCAGAGGGAGATGGCGTGACGGGAAATAGGTCAGAGTGAGACGGCGTGACGGGAGATGGGTCCGAGTGCTGTGCTGTGGCGGGAGATGGGTCAGGGTGCGACGGCGTGACGGGAGATGGCCAGAGTGAGACGGCGTAATGGGAAATGGGCCAGATTGGGGTGGCGTGACGGGAGATGGGTCAGAGTGAGACGCCGCGGCGGGAGATGGGTCAGGGTGCGACGGCGTGACGGGAAATGGGTCAGAGTGAGACGGCGTGATGAGAGATGGGTCAGAGGAAGATGGCGTGACGGGAGATGGGTCAGAGTGAGACAGCGTGACGGGAGATGGTATGCCCAAAGTGGGGAAGAGCGCCCCGGCGAACGGGCACGGCCAGTATTTTTCTCGCCTTTCAAATTATGAGCTTTCGGAACGTCAACATCATACTGGATAGCACGGGTATTTTTGGTTTGAGCTACAGCATACCAGAGCATCTGAGTGGAACGAGCTCAGGGGCATAACAAGGGTGTCGAACCGGCAGGAATATGAAACAAGCAAGGGACCAATGCGGTCTTCGAGCGCAAAAAGGGCATCTCCATGGCACCAGGAGGGCAGGCAAACAATGAGTGCCGTTGTGTTTTTGCATCTTTTGAAACACTGCGTCGGTGAATTCACAACCGAAGGTCGTTAGGTTCGCGACTTGGCAACCTTCTACAGCGGCATCTACACGGCTCACATGTGCCAAGCGACAGTGACGAAAGGTCAAGTGTCGGTATCAGCCGATAGATGGCGCTAGACATTACACTCCAGGAAAAGCAATAACCCTCAAATGCGCAGCATTTCCCGTGGCGACGACTCTTTCCTCTGATGCGGTTAAAAACGTTAGCGAATGAAGAAGAACCGCAGTATAGTCATGGTATCATCGGTTGAATGACCCGTAAATGTGCAGCATTTCCTGCAGCGACAATTCCTTCCTGTGATTGGTAAAGTCACGGAATGCAGAAGAGCCACGGCTTAGTCATGGTCCAGGTGGTGTGTAATGCATTTGAGCCCCAAACACCCTTTCCGTCCCTTGATCGAGAGAGCTTAACAAATGAGCAGCACCTGACCACCTTTTAACACCTAACTAGTTGGAAAATCCAGCGCGACATTGGATTTCGAGCACGGGCTAACGCCACTTTGCATACTTGGAGTACGACAGCAAGCATGCTTCATACTCCTCATTCTCCTCTTGATTTCTCATCTGCACATGCTACAGTACCCATGCCCACGCCCCATCTGTGTCCCCCTCCCGCCTCCCCCCCCCCCCCCGAGCTGGTGAGGCCCCCACAGGTCATCAGAGGGGCCTCGTCTAGCCTGTGACCTGCGGCGGGACGGCGGAGCGCCGCCGCCGGGTCGCGGCAGCCGCGGCATGTCACCTCGTGACCCGTGACGCGTTCCCCTCCCCTCCCTTCGTGGACATGTACTCACGGCACGTGGTCGATGACCTTGAGGAAGTCGTTGGGCACGCCCTTCTCCCGACGGAGCAGGCGTACGCCCGAGTGAGACACGCCCAGGAACTGTACCAGCGGGTTGTTCCGACCGCCCTGAGGGTGCAGAAGGCCAGCGGCGGTTAGCGGAGGACGGCGGCGGCAGGCGCGGGACGACAATGTACAATTAGAACACGTCCGCAAAACGGTCCAGAAAGGGGGGGGGGCAAGGAGGACACGGCGCACGGCTCACAGTCGATAGAAAACCACTGGGAGGGAGCAGAAATTGGAAACTCAGGCTTCCTCGTGTTTCGTTGGTTTTAAGAACTGTCGGCCTCTGAAACAACCCGCTAAAAAGAGAGGCACACAGCAACGGCAGGTGGAATATGGCCATGTAGCCCCCGCGGCACACTGCGGATCAATTATTCCTAGCCGTCACTAATCGGTGTCTACGGGAGTTCGGGTTAAACCGTAAGTTATAGTATTGAGCAATAAGATGGCAGTGCTTACACTAGACAGCGGTAGTATGACTCGCATGCCAGTGTGTTGGTAAGTGAGCGCTTTGAAAGGTGCATCCAATGCTCAAAAATACGTGTTGTAGTTCAATATACTAATGCTATAACATCTATCTAGAAGTATACATAAAACGTACATCAAATTCCGCCTATAACACATAATACGTATCGTAAATTACCTCAAGATTAGCATTACAAACACACAAGTGTGGCGAATACAATAACCCGCTAAGTCTCTTGGACAGCGCCATGACAAATTTTCAGATTTATTCCAAATAGTTTGCATGGGTGGCTTTGAGTTCAGAGCACCTGTGTGTGTGTGTGATTGGAGCTTTACGACGCACTCAGCTGCTGAGGCTATATGGCGTCGCCTGCCTCTCACCCTGGCAGGACGGGCGGGCACCGCGGGGAATCGCACCCCGTAACTCTGGTTTCCCAGACGCGCAGTGGTTAACGCAGACGTGTTAACGCAGACGTGTTAACCACTACACTACGGGCACCCCTCAGAGCACCTGCTAAGCGTGCCCGGTGGCGTTTGCACCGATCCCACCACTCACGTAAACTGCCGCCCAGATTAACGAATAACTTTGTCTTGGCCCTTCCGCCATACAGGACTGCGGTGGGTTTTGCGTGCAGCACACTAGTGCGGTACCATGCTCTGTAGGACTACGCATTCCTCCTGACACGAAAGGTAGGGCGCGGGGGCACCACCGCCAGGGCACGTTACGGAGAGAGCAGCCAACGACGGGAAGTCACGCCGCCGACCCTCTGCCCAGCGCAGTGCCCTCGTGGAGGACGTCCCTGACTCCACGCACGACGTGCGCTCAAGCAAGCAGCGTGCGCCACGCGCTGACCGGACGTGCCAGTGGCGGAGCCAGAGTTTCACACCGGGGGAGGGGGCGACGCCGCGGCAAAGCTGAGAGACCTTGCAAAGTCACATCACTCGGAGCGTGACCAAGCCGCGGTTCCCGTGAGAAGACAGGGCGTGGCAGCCCGCCGCTGGGCCCGCCTGGGCGCGCCCCTGCGGCGTGCCCGGCGGCGGCGCAGTCGTGACCACGGGCTCTTCACGGCCGTGATGCGCTTCAATGCGCTCGGCAGCGGACCAGTGGCCTCCGCCCGGCTGGAGGAGGCCGGCCTGGACGGCGGCGGATGGGACAGGGGTGAGCCAGGGCGGAGTGGCGTCGTCTGCGGTCAGGTCTTACACAGCATGCCCTCGCTCGTGGGTCGTGTGTTTTGGAGTCATGGGTCCACTTGAGTGCGTAATTTGATTCCCATGTGAACCACGGCCGGTCAGTTCGCGTCACACTTGGGACGCACGCAACAAAGTGCTTTCTCATTCCCAGATGTTGTCGATATGGTTATGCACATGGCGTTAGAAACGCTATAACTTGGATAACGACGCAATATTTCGTGATTTGGCGATTGGATAATCGCTCAGCGTCATGAACGTTTAACTGAAATGCATTGGCTCAAGGAGAGAATAAAACCGGTCTCTGAAGGGACATTTTCCCTTCATTCTCCACGAAATCCTTGCGCTATATTCTGTTGTCTGGAGAATATTCTGGTGGTTAGAAGTAGTCGACAAGAGTGCACAGCAGTCACTTGCGTACTTCTTCTGTTTAAAGCTGGTAGGTTAGGTGTTAAATAAATGAGAGTATGCCATTTTGGTATGGAAGAAGTTCCGCCGGTCAGTGCAAAAAACAGCTAGTTATATGACAAATAAGTGAGGCAATGTAACCACGAGCACGCAGATAAGATAGTAGTAAAATCCTTATTCTTCGTTGAAAACCCAGAAAAGCGAGATAGACACGTTGATATTTCGGCAACATGCCTTTATCAGTACAAAAAGGCACGTTGCCAATATAGGCATGTTTCGTTTTGATAAAGTCCTGTTACCGAAAGATAAATGCATCTAACCCGCCATTCTCCAGGTTTTTCTACAAAAATAGGGCTACTACTGCTATTTTATATATCTGCACACTGTTCCTTGGGAATGCACGTCACGCCTCATGCAATCACAAACATTCCTCCACTCCCATTCATGTCATAACCGGCAAACCTAACCATCGTTTCTTATTTCTTAAGCAGTGTTTTCGTCACGCATGACGCGTGCCAAATTGCTGTGGAAACGCAGTGCCCACTACCTCGGACCACCTTTCATGCCGCCGTAATTTGACTTTATAGGGGCAACCCATGCCACATCCGGGCGAAATGGTTCTTTTCAGGACCTGCTGACTGTCAAAAAACATCCAACGCTTGCATGGTGTTGGCGGCTGCATGGCAGCATATCCTCGCTCGGTTCCCACGGTCCGTGGCAGCGGCCGAGCCAGCTCACCGAGACGGGGAAGAGCATGCAGAAGTAGGTGGGCCACTCGCGAGCCATCTCCAGGATCTGCCGCTTGATGGCTAGCTTCAGCTGCGCCGCCTGGATCGTGTTCGGCGAGACGCCCAGCTCATCCAGCCTCTGCAACGTGCCGGCAGCCGGCCCAGTCACGTAAGGACGATACGGCGGTAAACATCGCGGGAGGGAGCGCGGACCGTGAGAATGAGCACGCCGAGGAAAGTTACGTTGAAGAAGCGTGAGAAAATGGAAGCAGCCATTGCCTGGAAGAAGCCTTACCTTTGTTTGAATATATTCAACATACCTTAGCGTTGTGTGCAATCACGCACAGCACAGCGTCTATATATAGCATGGCTGTTCTGATCATTACAGGATCTACATCAGCCAAGATCGGTGTGATCATAGCATGACAGACAGCCAAGGGCGCGGCGGAGCCGGGCTGGAGAGGGCACCTTTCTGGCCGCCTGCCGCTCCGGCTGGCTGATGCGGATGCAGGCCGGGTTGTAGACATCGTGCACGATCTGGCAGAAGACCAGGTGCAGCGCGGTCGCGTTGGTCACGTCCTCCGTTGGCGAGAACACCTGCACGGCGGCAAAGACAGCGGATCAGAGCCACGATGAGGCTTTGCGGAATTTGGCGAGACAACGCGAGGCTTTTGAGCTGCTCTGTAATGTGTTTACCGGGACAGCTTTCAGTCAGCTTGTTTATCAGTCAACCTTGTGACGTTGCAATGACCAGGTGTTTGCCGAAAAATGATTCCAGTGGCATTTACCTTCTGCAATTGACATATACACCATCCGGCTGAACATACGTTTTCGTGTCGGCTGATTACCAGATACGCTGACAGGAAACTTACGGCACCGGCCCACAATTCCTGCCGGAATGTGCCGGAATGCTGCCATGGGCAAAGACATTCTTACTCTTTTCCTCTACGTTTGGAGGGTATAACGAACAACAAGGCTTTAGGGGCACGAGGATTACGCGGCCTCAAAAACTTGACATCATTGTTAACGTCTCACAAACGATGTTACTGATCCCCATTTATGTGAAGTATCGAGACAGGCCCGAGAACCGATACTCGAGATCGACCCGAGACATTTCGGTAACAAGCTCTACAGATCTTCCCGAATTGTGATTGGACGCTGACTGGAAAAATAACTGCGGCGCAAAACCTCTCTTCTTCCCGCTTACGCTTTCACGACACAGCTGACACATTTAACCGCTAATGCACACCATTACAACTATTCCATCAACAAAAATGCAAGCTGTAAACTCGATGCTAGACACCGTAACGCTTATAATGACGACCCCAGTACTTATCGTCATATATAAATGACTGGATGAGCCATAAGGAAAGTAACAGAACAACAAGGTCTGGAAACAGAGGAACGTGACAAACGACAAGGTTAAAAAAAGAGTAACGCACCGCACGCACTTCCTCTGATCTCACAGATGGCGACAGCACCTACTGCAGCCTAGCATGGGTGCAGCCACTGGGGGCGGGTGCTGGGGTACATGTCCCCCTAATATCAGAGACGTGGTTACACCCACGCAACCATGCGGTGAAAGCGTACGTCACGAATCAGGAGAGTCATGGCATTGTGCAGAAAGAGCTTTGACGGTAAGCAGTGCCATCTTTCCGCAAAGCACAGATCGCGATCGCGCGCCAACCAAAAATAATGACCGACGATAGCGCTGCCAAAGCAGAGCACCAAAATCGTGCTCAGCACACACCTGAAGGATGGCTGACCTTTCCAGACCAGACAGCACGCGAGCCCTCCACATGGTCACACGTATGATGTATCGGATCAGGTGGGGGTTTAATTTATAATCGTATCATAGCAATGCGTGCCTGTGAACACGTGTGTTAGGCGTGGTGCCGCCGAAGGAGCACAACCCACATTTCGTGACTAGGACCGCGAAGGGGTCGAGTTCAGTCACATCAATACCAGTCACCAGCGGAGCACGCTATAAGAATTCGAAAGAGAGTTACAACATTTGAGCCGGTGAGAGCTACGAGCTGATAGCATTGCATAGTCATCAATTAAACTGTCGTACAGCTTCTCGATATGCATTGAGGCACACGTCCTTGCTAATGAGAGCCCATGTCGTGTAAGAAGAGCGAGCGTCAACTTTTCCCTGTTTAGCCCAGTTGCCAACCATAAATCATGCAACCAACAATATGACCAATGAATAACCCAATTGATCACCATGAAGTTAGTCGAGCAACTATAACGCAACACCATATTTCACAAGTCACTTATTTCATACTTGGTGTAATCTGTATGGACGCACGGACCAGTCTGCCTGCAACGAAGGGCGTCCACATTTCCTCCTCCTTCACGTACCTCTTTCCTGACGTCGAGCCGCCAGCTGACGTTGTTGTAGGTGACGAAGGGGGCCGCGCTGGGCGGGAACAGGCGAGTCTTCGCGCTCTCCAGCGTGCGCTCGTCCTCCAGCTCGCGCCCCGAGCGCAGGTCATGGTACGAGTCCACTGGGCGCAGGAAGCCCTCCGACTCCTCCACTGCAACCGGCCGGCGCCGCATGGTCACGCCTCAGCCGCCCGCCTCGCGCCAGGGAGCGCGTCTCACTCGGGTCACGACGGCGAGGCACGGGCGGGCCGTCGCACGAGGGCCGGTCTCCAGCTCGAGAGGCACGAGAAGGCGACTTCCCTCCCGTGCCTCTGACGTGCAGCACCTCGGAAGATTTTCCCGGTCTCAGACACCGGGCGGCGAGCGGGCGATCCACGCACGCACGCAGACTCACGGCGAACGCCCGCGGTCACGTGACCGCACGCCCCCGCGCCGTCTTCTGCTTGAGCCGCGCGGCCGGCCCGACTGCGCGGCACTGGCGTGCGGCCGCACGGTCACGTGACCGCCCAAGGCCACGGCGCCAGGGGATCAGCGGACGCGGACACGCGAGCGGGTGGACCCGGCCTGCACCTGTTTCCTCGCGCAAGGAGGGTGCCGTCAGCGCGCGTGCAGCGGTGATGAGCGCGAGGATTTAGTAAGCGTCCGGTGGGGGTGAGCTTATAACGTGTGCAGTATATGACGCATACTCTATAGGAGCGACTCTTTGTCTATCCACACACACGCACAGACAGACACACACACACATATATATATATCGTGCCTATATCATCTTTAACGTCAGAACCTCAGTCATCGCAGTGGTGTTTGTACATTAACGTCTACAGTTATTGCATGGTAACTGTTGACATTGGAGATTCCAATGACGATGATCCTATGAAAGACCTGTGCAGTAATTATAAGTTCCAGCGGTAAAATTTACAGATCTCCGTAAATACATCAATGAATGTCTTCAATACCGTTTGCTATTACTACTAAGCAGTTGCTGCCCACCGAGCCGTGATAGTCTAGTGGTTAGGACCTCGCGTTGTGGCCGCGATAACCCCGGTTCGAATCCGGGTCACGGCATCAAACTTTTCGCTCGGTTTCTACGCATAAGACGGTCCTTACCACGTTCTGCGACTAACGTTGGAACACATCTGTTTCCAGACATGTCAGAATCGAACCTCACATGTCGTTTTCATTTCACAAGACCATTCTGGTTACATATAGGTACTGTATTCAACTTCCCCGTTGCTTTCTAGCGAGCACAAATTCTTCCACTTTTGAGATACCTGGACTGGATTATTTGAGTCAAACTCTGCCTTCATCACCTGCATTACGTAAACTGTCTGACGAAATGCCGCGCAAAAAGCGTAAGAAGCTCACGTTTGTTCCGCATTTCACATAAATCGTGTTACGAATTGGCGTGAAGGTTGTAGATGCAAATCGGAAGTTCTCAAGCAACGTTCTCTCCACCACGGCAGTTATCTCATATATATATATATATATATATATATATATATATATATATATATATATATATATATATATATATATATATATATATATATATATATATCCTTCCACCAACTGCCTACTGGAAGCATTACTAATTTACCAACACTGAATAACACACGGGCGCCACCAGCACGTCGGCATGGTAGTAGGGACCGCATTCAACGGAATTTATGCCCAAAAAAAATCACGTAAGCTTTCCTCTTACTGGCATTGTTCAGTGATCTCACTCCGGATTATGATCCCTTCGTGTGAAGCTTGCGCTTTATCTGTTCTGGAGTAGTTTGAACTGAATGTTAAAAAGACAGTCTTGAAATTAAACGTGAGGTCATTTTGATTGACGGATATTACAGCGACACGCTAAAGATATGGTATCAGTAACTGGGCTCCAAGTGGGTGAATGGGTGCATGGCCGAAGTATACACCTATGTCGAAATATCGCACGTCTATAGATAGTTATTCTTTTGTTATGTTAAATTATTCAAAACTTGTGTTTTCGACGGGGTTTCCAGCATCTCACGGTCATTTCTGCGTTTTTCATGCCCCCGCTTTACCACTCTCAGGGACGTTCCAGCGGCGCACTGCCTTCCATCATTACTGTTTAATCAACCGGACGTTTCGTGAAAAGGATTTACCGAAAACGTGGCAAGCTGCGACCTTGAAACAGATACCAAGCTCCACCGATGTTTGTTGTCCTTACGTCACTGCTCACCCCAGACGTGTACAGCACTGCCCAGTCCTCCGACCAATGAAACACTCACGCTCATATCTCTCCGTCTTTTCCGTGACGTGAGTAGTCTCCGACGCGTTCGACTTCCGGTCTAACTCGATCCTACTGGTTCGCTGGTGGCGCCGGTCGCCCCTGATTGGCTGGATTGGGCGGGGCGGCGAGCGGCGGTCAGCTACCACCGGCGAGCTGCTGAAAAAGGTCCGGAAGAAGCTGATCAGATCACTACTGGTTGCACTCGGGCAGCCTCTAAGGATTAGCAGGCGCCTGTGTACATACATCACCACGTAACGTAAACGTTCGACCTAACGATAAACCAAAATTATACAAAAAACGGGTCTTCCGTAACTTCAAAATTATCGTCTGTTTACCGTTGGTTGTCACACTTTCCACACCCACGGAGTAGGGAGAACACTAAGCACCCCGACTATGCGCATACACACCTCATCTGAACTGGCAGCGCACGCCATGCGACGGAGCGGCGCCATCTGCAGGTGCAGTGTACACCGCGCACCAGACCGTCGCCAGCCTCCCACCCCCACCCTCCCACTGCCGTGGGGCCCACCGTCGCGGGAACCGCCGCCGCGGGACCCACCACCGCGGGACCCACCGACGTGGGACCCAGCGGCGCGGGGCCGGCACCGGTACCTGTCGGAGAAGCTGGAGCCTTCGGGCGAGGCGGGCCGGTGGGGCGGGATGTCCACCTGCAGCGGCCCGATGGGCGGCGGCGGGGGCGGCACACCGGGCCGTGGCCGCTCCTCCGGCCGGTTGGTCTGAGGGACGCAGACACGGTCACGGTCAGACAACGGCCGCGGGGCACGGGGTGAGGTCAAGGATGGGTACAGGGCCATGTCAAGGGTGCATACAGTGTCAGGTGAGGGTCAGGTACAGGGTTAGGTCAGCGGCGGACACAGGGTTAGGTCTGGGGCGGGTGCAGGGTCAGGTCCGGACACAGGGTCAGGTGGGCGCCGGACACAGGGTTAGGTCTGGGGCGGGTGCAGGGTCAGGTCCTGACACAGGGTCAGGTGGGAGCCGGACACAGGGTTAGGTCTGGGGCGGGTGCAGGGTCAGGTGGGAGCCGGACACAGGGTTAGGTCTGGGGCGGGTGCAGGGTCAGGTCCGGACACAGGGTCAGGTGGGAGCCGGACACAGGGTTAGGTCTGGGGCGGGTGCAGGGTCAGGTCCCGGACACAGGGTCAGGTCCGGACACAGGGTCATGGTCCGGACCACAGGGTCAGGTCAGGGGTGGGTACAGTCACGTCAAGCCCGGGCACAGGATCAGGTCAGAGACGGGCATGGGGTCAGGGTTGGAATCAGAAACAGGACAGCCCCAGGGCCGCGTCAGGGGCGGTTGCACAGGACTAGGTGAGGACGGGTACCAGGTGAGGTCAGAGACGGGTACAGGGCCGGGTCGGGGCGGACGCAGGATCAGGTCAGGGACGGAGGAAAGATGAGGCCAGAGCTGACCTCGGTGCCGTACGAGGTGAGTGAAGCATACGGACACAATTAAATCATAAAGTATACTGGTTACAGCGCAGGGCGCACGTAGGCCTGTATGCGAATCTCACTGACATGTCATATGACATACTGACATACGTAAACTGTCAGGGTCGGGCAATACTTCAAGGGTAAATCGAAGCCAAGGTTGAATCCCAAGTGATAAGAAAACCCGCATTTCCAATCGGTTGGCCAGCCTTTGTGTCGTCAGAGGCACCGCGTTATCTCAGTCAGGTGCGTCTCTCTCACGACACCCAGACATGTGGCCCAGAGCGGTAGTCATCGGGAAGGGAACAAGCACACGCCCAAGACCGCCGCCAGCCACAGGCTAGTAGGAGGCCCGAGCGGCTGGAGCCAACAACCGTGGGAGAAACAATACAAATTTAGCAATGCGGGCCTAGGTGAGACACCGTTAGTAATGAGTCCTGCATCCTTGCATGGGAGCATAGGTTTGCGATAAGAAATTCTACCATTGCCAAGATGATTAGCTACATCGCACCATGATTTCCGCGCGTAATGCGTGAGATCAGGTACGTCGTTTATCAAGCCACGCTGCGGGACACGAACACCGCGTGCCCAGCACTCCTGAAGCAGCCCCTCCCCCCCCCCCCCCCTCTCAAGCTCTCTTCGTCTGAGGAGCTGAGCCCGCCTCTGCCGCGTGTGACCGCCGGTCCGGCCGGCCGGAGCGCCGCCGCCACACCCCATTTGACAGCCCGCGTTCCCCGACACGCCCCGCCGCCATGACCCCGGCCACGGCCGCGCTGCTGCTGCTGGCGGCGCTGCTCGGCCAAGCGCTCGCCAAGCAGGTGTGCTACGGCGACTTGGGCTGCTTCGACAACACGGGCGTGTGGTCGGGCCGCGGCCTGCCGCAAGCGCCCGAGGACCTGGCCACGCGCTTCCTGCTCTTCACGCGGCGTGTGCCCACCGAGACCGAGCTGCTCTTCAACAAGACGAGCCTGCTGCACGGCTCCGACTTCGACGCGGCGCGCGCGCGCACCATCGTGCTGGTGCACGGCTTCGCGGACAGCTGTAACCAGCCGTGGCCGGCGGCGCTGCAGAAGGCGCTGCTGGCCGCCGAGGACGCCAATCTGCTCTGCGTCGATTGGCCGTTCGGCAGCGCGCAGTACGCGCACGCGCGCGACAACGCCCGCCTGCTGGGCGCGCTGGGCGCGCGCATGCTGCGCTGGCTGGGCGACGCGGCCGGCCTGCGCACCGACCAGCTGTACCTGATCGGACACGACGTGGGCGCGCACGCGGCGGCTTACATCAGCGCCCGGCTGGGCGGAGTGCCGCGCCTCACCGGGCTGGACCCGGCCGCGCTCGACTTCGACGGCACCGACAGCCAGGTGCGCATCGACGCCGGCGACGCCCAGCTGGTGGACGTCATCGTCAGCGACGCGGCCGGCAGCGACGCGCTCGGTCTCGGCATGAGCGACGACGGCGGCAGGGTCAACCTCCGGCCCAACGGAGGCGCTCACCAGCCCGGCTGCCAGGATAACATCTCCAGGTGGGTTACCGGGCGCGTGGGGCCCGCTCAGGGCGCGCTTTGAGTGGCCGTGTTCTTGTGCGCTGTTTGATTCCGCGTCGATGACGCTGCATAACGATGGCCAATTAAAACGTGAAATGTTGGATATTGGTTGAGATGGATGGAGAGTGAAAAGGACCTTGAAATGTGCGTACAATGAGAACTCAGACATTCCTGCCGAGCCCGAGCACGTTCTCAGCTGCCTTCGCACCGCGTCCACAGGTTTATCCACCACCTCACCGGACTGCGAACGCTTGACATCAGCCGCGAGGACTGGCTGAAGGCGGCCTGCAGCCACTTCCGCTCCGTCCAGCTCTTCACCGAGTCCATCAGCAGTGGCTGCGGTTTCGTGGCGGTGCCGTGCGCCTCTTGGGAGGCGCTCGTCTCCGGCTCGTGTCCGAGCCGCTGCCAGAGCGGCCAGTGCCAGCGCCTGGGGCCGGGCGCCGCCGACCACGCCGCCAACGGCACGTTCTACCTGTTCACGGCCCCGGCGGCGCCCTTCTGCCAAGCCTTCCACACGATCGAGGTCAGCGTGGGTTCCGGCCAGCCGGAGACGTACGGCACGTTCACCGTCCGCCTCCCCGACGACCCGCAGGCGCCGCTGGTCACCGTCCGCGACGGCAGGTTCGACCACTACGACGTGCTGCGCGCCAGCTTGGCCGCCGCCGATCCGGCCGACGGGGCGCTACTGGTCGACGCCACCTACACGCGCAAGTCGTCCGTGTTCCACTCGTACAGCCGCACCCTGCAGATCGGCCAGCTGAGTGTGGCCGTGCTGGACGGCGACATGCGCCTGCGCACCTTCAAGGCCGCCGGCGAGTTGCTGGAGACGGGCGACACCACCACGCTCACGCTCCAGGACTAGGGGTCATGACCCCGGCCCGCGCAGCGCCCGCCAGGTGGCAGCACGGAGCCGGGAGGAAGCCACGTGACTGGGAGTCGCAACAGATGCGCGAGCCGTCGTGTGCGAGACGCGCTGGATGATGAAGCGTGGAGGGCAGAAATTGCCGCCAGCTATGTGGCTTGTCATGCACGGCGTCATTCGTATATCGCGTTGAGGCGCAAAATCACTGGTGATATTAACTTTTCAGTTAGGCATTGGACAGTGTGGGTGCGTAATTTCGTGACCTATTTTCGTCAATAAAAAGAAGGCGAAAATGCATTCAAGAGCATCATAGCGCAGTCAGCTTCTTGCCAGCTCCTTCAAAATGGACAACCGCCTTTTCCCCAAAACCCATCGATCGCTGTTCGTATCTGCGTCTGTTGGAGCCCCCCACCTCCATCATCAGGGCGCCGAGACTTAACTGCATCGCGGCACCGAGGCCTTACTGCATCGCGGCGCCGAGGCCTTACTGCATCGCGGCGTCGAGGCTTTACTACATCACGGCACCGAAGCTTTACTACATCACAGCGCCGAGGCTTTACTAAATCACGGCGCCGAGGCTTTACTACGTCACAGCGCCGAGGCGTTACTACCTCACTGCGCCGAGGCGTTACTACATCACTGCGCCGAGGCTTTACTGCATCGCGGCGCCGAGGCTTTACTACATCACTGCGCCGAGGGTTCACTGCATAGCGGCGCCGAGGCTTTACTACATCACTGCGCCGAGGGTTTACTGCATCGCGGCGCCGAGGCTTTACTACATCACGGCGCCGAGGCTTTACTACATCACGGCGCCGAGGATTTACTACATCGCGGCGCCGAGGCTTTACTACATCATGGCGCCGAGGCTTTACTACATCACGGCGCCGAGGCTTTACTACATCACGGCGCCGAGGCTTTACTACATCACTGCGCCGAGGGTTCACTGCATAGCGGCGCCGAGGCTTTACTACATCACTGCGCCGAGGCTTTACTGCATCGCGGCGCCGAGGCTTTACTACATCACTGCGCCGAGGCTTTACTGCATCGTGGCGCCGAGGCGTTATTACATCACTGCGCCGAGGCTTTACTGCATCGCGGCGCCGAGGCTTAACTACATCACTGCGCCGAGGGTTTACTGCATCGCGGCGCCGCCGAGGCTTTACTGCATCGCGGCGCCGAGGCTTTACTACATCATGGCGCCGAGGCTTTACTACATCACGGCGCCGAGGCTTTACTACATCACGGCGCCGAGGCTTCACTGCATCGCGGCGCCGAGGCTTTACTACATCACGGCGCCGAGGCTTTATCGGATCCTCCAGCGCGGCACGACTCCAGCCGCCGACTCACCGGCTCGGCCAGGTGCGTCTGGCTGCCCAGCTGCTTCTGCAGCAGCATGCGGCGCGAAGCGTCTAGCTTCTTCACCACCTTCTGCTCCTTGCCGTCCGGCCGATCCTTGCCTGCTTCGCTGCCGCTTGATCTGAGATCAAGATCACCATGTTCTCAGCACTTGATCAAGACTATTATCACCATGTCATCTCTTCACTTGATTGTGGTCATTATCACCATGTCATTACCACCATGAAGCAGGGCGTACATGGTCATTAAACGGACAACGGGAGTGTGGAAGGCTGAGACACGGGCTCAAATTGGTTTTTCTATTACCAGTTAGTTATTGATTCACATTTTATTCTATCAAATTAATGGCATTCTTACGATATCTATGCTTACCCTAATTTAATTAGCACATTTATCCGTCGTTAATTTCAACAATATGTGATTACATGCTGGCAGTAATTTGATGCCTATTTTAAGACAAACATGCCTCCAATGGCCCGAGCAGAGACCATGTCCTACCGTTCAGAGTGCTTGGACGTGACCGCTTCCAGCTTCATCTTCAGAGCGGAAGAGATCTTCAGCTTGCTGATGGAGTTGGGGGCGGAGTGGTTGGCCTTGGCCGGCGGCGACTCCTTCGGCTTGCCCAGCTCCCGGTCCACTGCCAGGAGCGCGTGCGAACGTTAGCTCCAGCGGCTGACGTGACGTGTTTCAGGCGTGTGACGTCACAGGTGCGTGCTGGTGTGTGAATCATAGGTGAGTACCAATATGTGACACAGAGGGACGTACAATAAAATAACAGTTATTCACAACGAACATGCCCGGCATGAACCTGCGGGGAATCCCCATCGCCTCGCACGAAACAAAATCAGATTACGAAACGACGTTAGAATGCCTGTACTGTCCCGACCCCGCCACCTGGCCTGGCCGACTCGCGGGTTCGACCCGGCCGACAGAGCGTACCTGGCCTGGCCGACTCGCGGGACCGACCCGGCGACAGAGCGCACCTGACCTGGCCGACTCGCGGGACCGACCCGGCCGGCAGAGCGTACCTGACTTTGCTGATTCGCGGGACTTGTTAAGCACCTCGGAGGTCGAGGCCTGCGCCGTGTCGTCGGGGCTGCCCATCTCGAACTCGTCCCACTCAACGCCCTCGAAGCTCGAGTCGTTACCCGAACGGCCGCCAGGTGGCTGAGGGTGGGCGGCGTTAGCGGCGCGGTGAGGCAAACGCGGCGCAGTAAGAACGCGGCGCGTCACAGATGCTAGGAAGTTAGGGGAAGTGCACAAGCTGCTGTAAAACTAGACTGAAAACATTCGAGAAAGAGGTGACAGTAAACGCATGCTGAAGAAGGCTTCAGGTACGCTGCGATGCTCGTTCGAGGCAAAGCAGTTATTCAAAAGTTTGTTCGTGCATTCGCTGGCTGGCAGATGTGCGGCACAAGAGGCGGTTAAAACAATGTTCCATCGATCGCATCGCATCACATGCGCGCCAGCTGAAAACAAACTATAAACGGAGCGCAATACTCACGCGCAGGGTGATCAAATATTAGACATCGTTTAAAGCAGTGGAGTATCATTTCAGTACACAAATGATCAACACGGGACGAAAACACTAGTAAGAACAGTTAGTTGGCATTCCAGTGTTACATATGACAAAGCGAAGACCATTGATCCCGTATCAAGTTGGATAGATCATGCATGTTTGCCCACGGATGGGCGGCAGTCGTCAGGTTTAGAACATGCAATGGCTCTTGCAAAATTAGCATGCATGAATCAAAGCATGTTAGGCAGCTGATCGATGAGACAAAACATGAGATCCGGGAAGTGGTACATGCATGTTTGTAGGAGAGTCGTCTAGCTTCGTGATTTACCTAAAAGACATGCAAAATGCGACAAAGGGAGTGAAATTCACGATGCAACTTGTCACATTGTGTTACGCCGTATCAAGTTCATAAAAGAAAGCAATCCACAAACGAAGGCTGCACCCACATAACGACATGGCAGGCGTATGGACGCCGAGCTCAATTTATATTGTTTTATGGGACATGCGTAGTTAAAAAACGAGGTTCTTCACAACAGCAGCTGTGCAAGCGTTGTCATTGGTCATACAACAAGACAACTTGAGCTCGAGTACTGACCCATCCTCCTTCGCTGCCATCCTCAAACCTCCATTTTATGTTCTGAGTTTCTAATTCGCGACAGTATGAGCGATATATTCCGCTTGCGCGCGTGGCGTGCGGCCTATTTTCCCGTCGTTCGGTCGCACCGGTAGCCGTCAAGGCTTCAGTTCGCAGGGGTGCCGATAGATGACTCTGACCCACCTTCTGGCCGCTGCTCATCTTGCGGTGCTGCGCCTGCAGCTTGAACTGCATGAAGTCGGCACTGCCGGCCATTTCGCCCTTGGGCGGCGGCCAGCGCCACTTGCCGATGCGCACCGTACGCGCGCGCGTGTAGGACGGGTCCATGAAGGCGGCCATCTCCTCCGGCGTCATGCCCATGGGCGGCGCCGGCGGAATACCCGACTGGAGGTAGGCGGGAAGGTGCTGCCGTTAGCGCAGACGGAGCGGGACGGGGCGGGGAGGTGGGGAAGGCAGGGAGGCGCAAGGACTGCAGGCCTGCACGGCACAGCTGTGCAGGAAGTGCAAAGGATGCTGCCCACACATAATCCGCCCGCTTCAGCTTAAAACCAGCTCGCGATCTTTGTTTTTGGCAAATTCCAGAGCCGGTGCAGCTCAGTCCTCACTTAAAGAATCCCAGCATCACCCCATATAGTTGAGGAAATTACATTTCGGCCTAACTCAGCATGAAAGTGACAACTGGAGATGGATTGGACACATTTACGGCTTTTGAAACGGGCGAAGAGCATTTCTAGCCATCCCAATTCATTTCAGTTTCTAAATTTATTCAACGCAATTTAATTTCGATCCATCGTGCTTGCGGCATTCGGATATGGTCCAGTCTAGTTTAATGATGGCATAATCCTAAACCCATAAATGTTTCCAATCTGTGAAAAGCCAGCCCGTGGCGAAGGTGCTTGGGCGGGGCGAGATGGAGAATGGAACTTGGATAGAAGGAAGATGCAGGCCCGTGATAAGCTGAGTAAGTGATGTTCGAAAAGCCTAGCAAGCCACATAAATTAGGTACCAGTGAAGCATGTTGTGATCCAGAAAAACGGACTTGTCTTCAAAGGAGGCTTTGATGCAAAGCGAGGGCATTTTTAGGGAACTGACGATATTGAAGCACGATGGTATTGCGGATTGAGGACTGCAGCAGCGTTCCGTTTTGCTGGGCGTCAAACGGATGTGCGGAAAATTTTAACCTATGTTTTGTTTAAGCTAACGGGTAAAAGTTGTGTCGTTTCCAAGACCACAACCGTCTCACCTCGCCGAGCAAATGACTATGGCTTATCCATGAGGCGGTTAGGTCTATGCATAGATGAATAAGCATACACCACAACGACACAATCAGCAACGACAAGCGCACCAGTTAGCAGCCTTCCGTCGCACAGTGGGCTTCCACAGCTATGGAGCAGCCAAGCGGCGACACACAACCGATGTTAGCCTGACAACTCAGTCGCAGCAGCCCCCAGCTCAGCCCCGCTCCACGGGCGGCACAGCCGGCCAGGCGGGCCGGCCGGCGGGACCGCCGCCGCCTCTGTTACCCTCTCCTGGGAGGTGGCGCTCCGACGGCGCTCCTGCTGTCCGGCCGGCGACGGCTCGCCGCTGCCGCCCTCCCGCGCTGCCGGAGACGAGCCCGGGGCCTGGCCGGGGCTGGGCTGGTAGTCCTGCGCGGGCACGGGCGGCGGCGTCAGGACACGGCGCCGCCGCTGCACTGGGCGCCGGTGAGCGAGGAGGTCGTACAAGGTGCGGCGTTGGCGCGGCGCTTTTTGTTGCAACGGTCGAACGCAGAGTGCAAGGGGATTTTTCATTCGGCTGTGAGCCAGCTGCAGATACGATGGAATGCTGGCAATGCTCGGGAGGTATTTTACGATACTTTGGTAAAGATACCTTCTACGGAAGGCTGTGGAAAGTCAGTGCACGGTTATTAAGATGGATGCTCCCTGTTACTAAGAGAACGCAACGCTCACACCCTACAAACCTGCCTTATCCTAAGGCTCATCAGAACGTGCGAAGAAAACGAAGTCGAAACACGGGCGCAGCTGGCTGACTGGCCAGTAACACACCTTTCCTCAAATGCGTGCACAACCGTTGCGTGGCATTTCCGTGAGTCAGGGCCAGCAGTTGTGACGAGGTGCCGTTGCACTGAATGCCGACAGTGTGCGGTACATTCGCGTTGTGCGGTCAGTTAATTGCTACCGAGCTGATGTCAGTAATTGGCAAGAATTGTCCGATGCATTATCATCGGCGATTAATAAGGCCAGAAACACCCATGAATGGAAAGCACCACACCACGAGAGCAGCAAGTAGCTCAGCTGTGAGCAGACGCTGTGAGGAGCTAAAGGACATGCAAGACTTAAGCCTGTAAGCTGCTCAGAAGGCTGCCAACACGCACGGGCGTACCTTTGCGCGCTTGTCATCAAACGTTTCAACTAACTGTCGCACTGGCTTTCGCAGGTCTGATAAGGATTTCGCGTGGTGATGCTGCAATTCCAGACACACGGTTAGTAGGCCGCAGGCTGAGGGCACCAGATCGCCGTTAGTAGGTATAAGCGATTACACCATAACCCAAGGCTCTTTCCGCATGAAAGCAAAGCAAAAACTGTTGAAGGCGCGCAATACCTTTCGTTGCAAGGTGGTTATGAGCAGTAGGTTCAATACAATTTGTGACTAACCAGGCCCGAGGGGTGTGGGCATGGCCAAGAGAATTATGGCATATTCGAGCTTCACCAAAGCGGTTCTGTGTCGGCATAGCAATTATTCCCACTAGTCACAGCCACCGAGCTTCCCAATAAACAGGCACCTGCCACCCAAACGCTGACAACCTCAACCACAGGCAGTATGTTCTGACGATGCTCTGTTAGCATTTCCATCGTCGATCCAAAGGGTCTGAAGACTTAGGGGCATGCCCGAGCTAAGTCCATTCTGTCCCCGATTCGATCCAGAGGATCGGTTATTAGCTCGGGCCGTGAAATCGGTTTTGCGCGTCTGAGACGTATTTTCATCGCTCGATTCGATCAGTCAAGGCCATGGCAATTGCAAATACCTGGGGTTTGAATTTTATAACACGATCGGATGTCTGAAGTTAATTTTGCTTATGGGTACAAGGATACAGATATGAAACCCTTTACAAAACGGCAATCTCACTAGTATAACAGCATTTATGGACGGCGCCGCTTCACTTGAGAGAAACATGCAACTCTACAAATGGCGCAGGCTGTCCAACCATGTTGCGGAGGCGAGTCTATAGGGTAATGGTGCGGGACCGGAAAGCAGCATAAGCCCGACCTTTTTACAGCACTACCGGCCAGACCCAAAATATTGATTTCATGAGCTTGTGATCAGCACTAAAATGCTACAGGGTCACCTGAGGAGAGAATGAGGGGAAATATGGCACCATTAGTGGGGTGATCTACCCTAGATTGTGCCCGAAAAACGCGGCCAGCTTTTCTATTTCTTCAGGGCTGTCCGAATGACCAGTTCGGTCGTGACCTGGCATGACCAGGGTCACATGGCATGCCGGGCACCCTGACCTGAGCAGAGGTCGCCTGCAGAAGCTGGGCCAGCGCCTGGTTCTGACTGAACAGCTGCTGCTGGATCTGCATGTTCTGAGCGACAGCAGACTGTATGAACATGCGCTGGTAGGACGCCATCTGTTGTTGATCCGGCGCATTTGAGGTTGCCGCCGAGCCGTCAGAGTTCTGACCCATGCCGGCGGGCCCATACATCGACATGTTGGGTAGACTGAAGCCTGAAAGTTGGCATTGTTTGTCACGGTTTTGGTTCTGATAGCTCACAAGAAAAGTCTGAAAAATAGAACTGAAAACACTGACACTAAATTAAACACAAGGTAACGACTCATCACAATACATATGGCTGTACGTTGGTGTGGCTTTCGTGTAACTTGCCTCCTTTACTTTCGGATCAACCAATATAGAATGACTTAAGGAATGCCAGAGATCATTATAACAGCACAGGTGACAGGATTACATCCCTTACGTGTCATTCGTAGCAAAACTAATATTATTAAATGTACTAAAGAATGGTATATCAACGGCAGTGATGTGCAGCACGCTTATATTTGAAATAAAGACACAAACACGGTGAACGAAGGTTAAGACGGTCAACGCAACTCAGCACCAGGGCGAGACTTTTGTTAGGGATTTGGAAGCAGCGAACAGCAAAGCAGAATCAGCTAATGCAGATTACGAGCAGAAGCAAGTGGTAAAGTGATCGCCGCCCCGCATGTTTAAGAACGTACCAGATTAATAAATAGGATGTGATAGGTCTTGTCAAGACCTGACGGAACGCAGACAGGAAGCGACATAATTTAATAGCATTCCAGGAATTAGGCGGATTTTGCAGGCTTTCCACGAAAAAACAGCCAGCACAGAAAGATGTGATCTCTGGTTTGACTAAAAATCGTCGCAACTATCTGCATGCTTATTATCATCATTAGTTGTTGTTACCACAACGTAGAGCGAAAGGTATGTTCGCCCAAGGGAGACGTGCGAATGCTCCGGATATCACGATGACCGTGTATCAGGGATGCCACCGCCATCCAGGGCATAACTCGTCAGGGTGGGCTGACATGCGCTCCCCCCGAATCTAAAACGTTGATCCGTGTTACCAAATCTACCACCCCGCCATCGTCTCGTACCCCCGCGCTCACTAGGCCATCAAAGTCGCATCATCCTGTCGCGTGCATTACGCGCCGCCATTCCCGAAGCCCTCAACCGGATCCCCGCCGCGCATGCGCCATCTGCAGGCTCGGACGTGCTGGCCGCCGCGCTTGTACCCACCTGACATCCCGTACACCGGCACCGGCACGTACTGCACCTGCACCGGGGACGTGGTGCCCTCGCGACCATCCGGTGACGTCACACGCTGATCGCCGAATGATTGGTTGAGCGGCTCGGGTGACGTGGGCGCGGCAAAGAAGGGCGCTGGCAGCGTGGGACGCGGTGAGCCCGAGAGCGTGACGCGCGGTGTGTGTCGAGGCGCAGGCCAAGAACTGTGCCGGTGGCCGAGATAAAGTGTGCGGTGGGCGAGTTGTACGCCTTAAAGCTTTAGAGGCTTGTATAGTCGCGATTTTCGGCTGGGTGGGAAGATCGTCATTTCATTCCAGCCAAAGACACGGTTCTTGGCCTGTGCTTAAAGCGTGCAGGGTACAAAACGGCTACGAAGGTGAGGGTACGCAGCACGCCAAGGTGCAAAGGACTGTACAGTACACTCCTACTACCAATCCTTCTAAGATCACTAACGATCAAAGCAAAGCGTGCAGTATGTTCAGAATCAGAAAGGCATGTTAATACACTAAGTCACCACTAGGTGACGGTAGTGTAGTGTCAGCGCCATCCGCTAAACCGCCAAGCACTACCATCATACGCCGCGCAGAAATTCGCGCCGCTTCAACATGTCGCGTGTGAAGTATGCACTAGAGCCGATGCACGACTGGCACTGTGCACGATGCACGGTGCAGCGTGCAGGCCTAGACGGCCAGCGAGCGGGCCGGACAAGTAACTTGGCAGAGGTAGCGGGCGCTGGCGCCGGCAGGGACGTCTCTGAAGCTGGAGCAGCAGGAATGCGCCAGCGTTTCGCGTCAATGCAGCGGTTTTCGCGTCTGATCGCTCTAATCGTATGCCACCACGCTCTGGCCCAAGCTACTCACCCTGAGGCGAGAAGTAGGGCATGCCCCCGGGCATCATCATCGGAGGAGGCGACATCATGCCCGAGCCGGCGATTGGCTGGAACACGAACTGCCCCTGCTGCTGATTGGCTGTCGCGTTTTCGGGCTCCGCCCCACCTGCGACACCGTAGGATCACGATCAGAATGACACTAGCGAGTGGCTAAAAGGAGGCGACGCTCGAAATCACACGACGCTCCCATGAGGCCTTATACAACGTCCACTGACCAGCACGCCGTCCACACGAATACAGCGGCATACAGCATCGATGCATCACAAACCGTACATTTCGAGGACTTCTTGACTTTCCAATGGCCGCCCGACGCACAGGCGTAGAGTCTGTACCAACTGATACGAATTGCATGATGCTCCTGGCCGAAGTTTATATCATGCACACTCGTGACTAGCAACCATACGTAATTTGCCGTCTGACCTCAGCCTTCAGCTCTCTTGTTGCCAAAATGCATACAGCTGGTATATCATCGACCTTAACACAGCGCTGATGTGCTATGCCATGAGAAACACCACCCTGTGGTCAACTAGGCTCACCTTTGATGAGCTGGACCATGGCGGAGGGATCGGTGAGCGCCTCCAGCGTGGGGCTGACGGGACCACACGTGTCCTCCAGGTCCAGCTGCTGCTGGGTCACCAGCGCGCGACGCCGGATCGAGTCTTGGCGACATCTGGTGGTGACACGAGCGTCAGTTGACACGCAGTCACGGTAGACTCGTCCATCGGTCCCAATGGACTCGTCCAGACGCAGAGAAAGACATGGAAAAAGAACATAATCCGTTCGGTGCCAACCACAAAACGGGTCGATGAGACGAGTCGGTGCTGTAGCGGAGCAATGTTCTCACCTAAAGAAATCTACTGATGAGCTCAGCTCCTCCAATTCAGATTCTGCATCGCTCACACTCCCTTCCCCAGCCGCTGTTGTGGAATCATCCGCCAGGCGCGCTTCTCCCATCAAAGTGGACTGCTCCGGCTGCCGGCCTCCCCCGCCGCCCTTGATGGAAGCGGCCAGGGAGCGGGCGTCCGACAGCTCGTCGAGGTTGCCCTCCAGCACGGGCATGAAGAGCGCATCCACGAACTGGTCCATGTCAGAGGCCTGAGACGGCACGCGCACGCGGCGCACGTGCGACGCTGCCGGGCAGGACGGGTCAAGGTCACATCGCAGCCACGGGTCCATGAATTCGTGGACAGGGTAAGCATCAGCGTGGTCCTCAGCTCGCGGATGATGCTACGGTCAGCGCAGATACTGTAAGCAACTGTTCAAGCATTCGGTCGAATGCATCCATCGCCGAAGCTATGTTACCACGACCATAATAGTACTTTTATCAACATTGGGTAAGTAAAAGCAGGAGCGTAGTTTCGCAAAATATGCTGAGGGGAGCTAAACGGTGAAAAATAAAGCAGCCTGCCCCAAAATATCTCAAACAATGACCCTCTCCCATGCACTGGCCCACTTTCTTCTCAATGTTGGTGGTGGGGGAGGGGGAGACTGAAGTCCCCAAATCTAGTAGGGAACACATCTATGTAGAAGAAGCAGTATATATCAGGTACTTATTTCGTAATCTATGTGGTCACACGCGCCTCAGACCGCTTAAAACTGTTGCATGCTCTGAAATCAGAACTCCTATAAGGGGCTCCATTCGGCAGTTTGGTGTCTCTTATATCACAGATTTATTGCAATGGACTCCACCCAACGGGAAAGTGCCTCGCACAGCACGGGGGAGTGCCTCGCAATGGACTGACCCAGCGGGGGAGTGACTCGCAATGGACTAACCCAACGACGGTGCCTCGCTGGTGTCGGACATGGCCGAGCTGCGCACGCCGTACTCCTTCTCAGAGGTGTGGCGACTCTCGATGTACGCTCGTGACGAGAAGCTGCTCTGACCGGTCCTCTTGCCCGCGTTCTGCGACTTGACGTATCTGAAATCGGACACGATCAGAACACCGTCGCTTGAAATCGTTCTAGAAATCACGGCGATTGGTAATGGCTGCCACCACGTAAATCATTTTACCCTGTTAACTACCTGGACGTCTACTTATGCTGGATCAACATCTGGGACACGGCTTCATTAACGCAACGCTTATATTGAAGAAGAAACTGGAAGACCAGTGATGCAAAGCAGTGATGCGTTAGGGTGATTGCGACACACACATCAAAAGGTCCGTGGAAATCGTGACGCTTTTCACCGATAACAAATCAGTAAGGTTCGAACACGGCCCGATGTTAGCGCTGCACGCGGAAGAGCAGTTTGGCGCATTTTCGAGGGTAACAAGCTTTCCATGATTTAGATTACTAGCGTTAGGTTTATAACGCTGCACGTCTCTGCATGCACACAATGGTGGCTGAGGCTTGGTAGCAGTCATGCACGGTACAAATGAAAGCACGTCAAAAGCCAGAGCTCAATGACTGAAAAAGCAACGCTTGAAAAAGGGAGACAGTTTTGGAAGGCTTTTCGTCATGCTAACAAGCACCTATGAATGGTGGAGGCCATTTGACGTCGCTGAAAACCCATGTCATTTCCTTCCTTAAAGAGAATGAATGAAGATAAGCAAACAGTAGTCAGTTCGGCATCAGTACCTGTTCGCAGGCGATGCAATACCTGACAGTGCTGCCTGAGCGCCAGTCATATGCCTCACGCTGCGTAAATGGCGTAAGAATTGTTCTGAGCGGTGTGCCAGGGTTGATAATGCCACAGAACCATTATTGCGTTGCAGGGCAGTTTCGTATCATTTTCTCCCGTTCCACGCCGTGTCTGATCATCATTCCTGAACAGAGGCTTTAACTGCCTGCTGGACCGCCCGATGCCCCGATGGTCCGATGGTCTCCATCGCCCGATGGACCGATGGAACCGGCCGGACCGATGGTCTGTACCTGGAGCCAGTTCTGGGCGACATGGCCGGGTCTCCCTCGTCGCCAAAGGAGTGTGCGTCCTCCATCGCACCGAAGGAGTCGGGACCGTCCACGGGGTCACCGAACTCGTCCGTCCTGACCACCCACCAATACCGGTACGCTTATGCACATGCAACAATAACACTGGCACAGGCACCGTGTGAAACCCTTGCCGTCGTTCTACGACCAAAAGAAGACAGAACATGGAAGGGAAGGACGCATTCGCGCATGCGCTCTTTGAGTACACCTCGCCAACAAACACCATAGTTCATGGCTTGGCTCTTAAGGAATTTGATAGCACCAGGACCGGATATTTGGCCTACTTGTCGCATCACCAATGAATGTAAGTAAACCAGGCTGATTTGACGGTTGGAGTCGAGTGCTAAATCGTGGTACGCTTGTTACGCCAATACCTCCCCGGCTTCTTGCCTAAGCGAAAAACATCTCATTACTTTCGTCAAACGTTTGAAAGGTGCTTTGTCTTATCGAACAAGGCAAGAGCTTCGGGTGCATGATAACCGTTGTGTGCTTAACAAGGCCAAAAACACGTCTCTCCTTCACCCTCTGTACCGCTGCCGAATAACCAAGCAGTTGTGGTGACCTAAAACCCCAGTCAACAACCACGCCCTATGTAGTGCACAAATTACATAACTTGGCTAACTAGTTGCATTCACGAGAGTAGTTCTAAGTGAACAACATCAAGCATGCTGGCCAAATACAACCTCGACCATGCGCTTACCTCATTCAGCGTATCCCCTAACCACTGACTATGTGCAACAAGTACATGGACATGACGCGAAATGCTCCGTGGATGAAACGCGAGATCGACGTGTGCAGAGATTGTCGGACTGACAAACACGCACACGCACACAGGCAGGCAACCAGAGCGCCATCCAGACCTGTTGTACGCCTCGTGTTTCCTGTAGCTGTTGTTGGTGTCTGCGGAGTAGCGACGGTCCTTTTTCAGCTTCTTCTCGAACTTCTCTTCCGATCTGATGACGTCATGGCCAGCTGGCGACGGCACCATCTTGGTTCCCTTCGGGACGAAGTATCTGTCCAAAAAGCAGCATGACAATTTCTGCTGCGGAATATAAAGGACAACAGAAAAACAGATAATGTTTCGAACACCGACACGCATGGTATTTCACCCTGCACGTCCGGGATGGCGAGAATGTGAATGGTACCAACTCACAACGTAAGTCTTTGTATGACGGCTGTTGAGAATGAACAAGCACATGAAAATACATGAACATAATCATGAGGACAGCAGACGTGGGAACGACTGGAGCAGCCTGGATGGAATCTTTTGTATGACAGAGCTCAGGCGTGCACACATTTTTAAGGCCTGACGAGGCAACATTTAGTACCGCGTTAATAGCATCCTCGCTGCGTGATGGGTGCCCCACAACACTGGTATCCTGGCGCCAAGTTGCAGATTCCGTGTGTGGCGTCGATAAAACTTTAAAACAAGGCGCACACTGCGCGTTTGACAAGTCTTCTGGTAGCGCCGAACATGTAGCGACGATGGTGCCAAAATCGCCTCCGCAATAGTTGCCATGGAGACCAAAATATCGTCGTCAAGTGTCCCGAAAGGGTCCAGAATCAGCGGAAACTCCAATCTCTTCGCGAATCGCACGCCGAAGTGACAAAAACCCTCCGAAAACAAGTTGACTGAGAGGGCGGCGGTCGCGGTGCAGCACGGCGCCGCGTCACGCACCTGTCGTTTAGGGCGCTCTCACTGAGGCCGTGTTTGTTCCAGCCGGCAGCGGCTGCCGGGTCCGCGATGACGTCCGCCGAGTGGTAGCGCTCGTTGAGGCGCGACGCCGAGAGGCCGAGGTGCTCAGGCCGGGTGTGCTGCGCGCTCCGGGAGCGCTCACCCTGAAGGGGGGGGGGGTCAGCGCTAGGAGGAGAGGGGCGGTCGGTGTTGGCGTCGAGGCGGCATCGAAGCGGCATCGAAGCGGTATCAAGGCGGCGTCGAAGCGGTATCGAGGTGGGTATCGAGGTGGCGTTGCGATAGCATCGAGCCGACATCGAGGCGGTGTCGAGGCCTCAAGGCGGTATCGAGGCGATTTCGAGCCGGCATCGAGGCGATGTCGAGGCGGTATCGAGGCGCTGTCGAGGAGGCATCAAAGCGGTATCGAGGTGGCATCGAGGCGGCATAGAGGCGGTATCGAAACTGCATCGAGGCGAGGCCGGCACGCCGACGCCGGCGTCGCGGACGATTCTGACTTTGAGCAAGGTGCCGGATATGCAGCGAGTTCTGCTTGGCAGAGCCGAACTCCCCCCCCCCTCAACTTTCTTGCCGAGCGTAGTACAGACCTATAAGCATCATATAGGTCGAACATGCGTATCACTCAACCGCTATGAGTGGATGGCAAACAACGGAAGTCTAATCGGCGCCGGTTCACTTGCTCTTACGAGCGTGTTTTGGCCCTTACGTCATCCAGGAGGTTGTCAAGGCTGCGGCTCTTGTTACGCCCATTGCTGACGTCATCGGTGTATGGACCACTGTGCGCTGAGGTCCGCCTTTGCTCCTCCCTCAGCTGCTGACGTAATGGCTGCAGGAACCAATCGCGTTTTTGAAGCTCACTGTTCGTCCACTCAGGAGCTTTTCGATAGAAAATGGTAACGAAATTTTGTATGCTTGCATGCATGCTTTGTTGATTGTTAAGATGTTAAATGTTGTTCGCAGTTAGCTTCAAGAGTGAAACGTTAAGTTCAAGGAAGCTATCAAGTTAATAAGCTTCTGTTGTCTTGGACGCGATATGAGAAGACAGGAACATTAAGGCAGAAAAGAGAAAGCGGTGTTAAGAAAACAGAAGACGGTATACCTTTGCGTATAACTGACTCATGCTATGAAGGGACTCTTTTCTGGGCGGAGGAGGCGAAGGCGGAACATCCATTGTTTCCATCCGCTGGAGAAGGCAATGTCAGCGTTAGTGTACTCGTGCTGTCTGGAGAAAGCTGTGCTGGTGCCGCTCCAGAGTAAGCTGTATTGTTATGCCGACGTAGTTGGCAGCTCTCGTTCGCAGCTCATCACGTGGTAACAGTCATGGTAAGGCAAGTCATCGACCTCCTGAAGCGTGCAGACTGCCTGGTATGTCAGAGGCCGTGACATGCGAGTTGTAAGCTCCCAGGCGACAGATGTCTTCGTGAAAAAACATGATTGGGACTTTGCTGTTACCTTTCCTAATGCACACGCAATAATGAAAACTAGAGACGTCACCAAACCACCTGACGCACAAAACATTAACTACAATCCGATTAATTGCTTTCAGGTTATGGCCACCCGCCGTTTTCCGCGTAACGCACGATCAGAGTACGGCCCTCATAAACTATGCATGGGCTGCTTCAAAACAAAGTTACGTATAATGGTAATGCAAAATAGTTGAAACGAGTTCGCATAATTTCAACCTGCGAACACATACTAGCTTCAGCTTAAAGCGACTTTATCGGAAATTGTGTCCATTTCGTATCCAGTTATCATTCCTGGATGTGGGAGGGGAAGGGGGGGGGGGGATATGGCGACGTCTCCGACGTAGTCTCATATCTGCGACAAGCAAAATCGGCATGTATCATCCTTTTCAAATTGCTTGTACTAAGACTGTGCTCTTCGGCGTTGCTGTACATTGGTGCAAGACATGCGAATGTGACTGGGTTTCATGTAAGCATCACGTAGTCATTATATACATACATATATATATATATATATATATATATATATATATATATATATATATATGTATGTATGTATGTATGTATGTATATATAGCCCATGTCCACCATAAAAGGGTACGTGTTCATGAAAATCACAAACAAGCAGCAATTATTTGGAGTTGTTGGACTTGGTGTTAAAATATCCATGTCACTTATTTTCATTAACCTATCTATGAACTATACCTTAAGCTATCTGTAGGTTCCTGGAAGTGACCTGAAAACAAATCTAGCTGAGCGCAACAACAGAAACCACAAATGTAAACATCAAGGAGCGCGCTGCTAGAACACGGAGCCGCCAACGTCAAGCACTGACCTGGTAGCTGATACGACCTCCTGGCGACCTCTGTGGCGACCCGTTCCTGGGCGCATCGATGAAGTCTTGCGACATCATCGGGGTGACCTGCCCGGACGAGACAGGCGATGACTGCCTGACGTGCCAGCCCGCCGGGCGGTTTGGTTTGTCGGGCCGGGTTCAAGGTCAGCAGCCCTCGGCTGACCTGACCTGACCCTCGCGCCGGAGCCGGCCCGCCCGGCCCCCGCTCAGCCCGCTCCTGCCCTGCCGAGCCCCACCAGTCTCGCGTCTTTTGCAACTGTCCTCTCGTCTTATGCATGCTCTCGTCTCCCGGTAAGCTTAATGTCGTTCATTCATCCATTCCCAGCCCCCCGTCACTGCCTGCGGCAGAGCCAGCTGCACATCTGTGGAGTCACCCGTGGCACTGACTCATTCTCTCCCCCTCCCCCCTCCCCTGAAGCCGCCCGTGGCAACGCCGTACCCACCTTCCTGGAGCCGCCCCTGGTGCGCTCGCTGACCATGAAGCCGCCGCGGCCGGCCGGGAAGCCGGGAGGCAGCTCGGTTTCGCCGATGACGTCCATGACGTAGTCGTTGCCGCTCAGCTCGTAGAGGTCACCCTCGTCCGTCATCTGCGCCGTCCAGCCGAACGTGCTGCCGATCCCGCGGTCTGCGACGGGCCATAGGGTCATGGAGAGGTCACGGGGTCATATGGTCTCCTCAGTCAAACGTGCTGCCGATGCCGGGTTTGCGACGGGACACATGGTCATGGGGAGGTCACGGGGTCAAATGGGCTCTTCAGTCGAACGTGCTGCCGATGCTGCTGTCTGCGACGGGCCACATGGTCACGGAGAGGTCACGGGGTCACATGGGCTCCCTAGTCGAGCGTCGGCCAAGGATGCGGCCTGTGACAGGGCGGCAAGATCGCAGGAAAGGTCGCAGGATCACCTGTGCCGTTCAACTAAATGTTTGTGTGTTTGGTTTATGTACTTTCAAAATGCGATAAGCAGCACGATAAGATTAAGACAAGCCAAAGGATGGGTGGAATAAGTAACAGAACTTAAATCACGGCGCTTCTCCCAAGAGAAGCAACAAAACAGAATACATCTATCGGATATGGGACTTCATTAACGTGTTGCCGTTTTCGCGGTCTGTGGCGAGATCACAAGGTCACTGAAGGGTCATGAGGTCGTGTTGGCTCCCTATCCAAGTATGCGGCCGATGTCGTAGCCTACGGGTCGTAGCCGTAGCCTATCACAAGATCATGAAGGGGTCAGGAGGTGATACGGGCTCCCCAGTCGAGCGCGCTGCGAACTACGCGGTCCGTGGCGGGTCACAGGATCATGGAGAGGTCGTAAGGTCATCTAAGCCGTGCAGCCGAACGTTCTGTTAATCAGCCGTCCGTGGCGAGATCACAATGCCATGTAGAGATCATGAGATCATGTAGCCTTTCCATTCGAATGTCATGTAGATTCAGTGGTCGGCGGGAGGGTTTGAAGGTCAAAGGGGTCACGAGATCAGCTGGGCCGTCTAACCAGACATGCTACCAGTGCCACTTCTGTGGCAGCTGTCTCAGCATCACGAGGTCATGACAATGTCACGGTACGGCATCACGAGGCCATGACAATGGCACGGGATCGACGGTCCGTCCTCCGAGGACTCACTCTCGAGGACGTAGGCGGCCAGCTCCTCGCCGGTGGTCCAGGAGTCGACCGGGGCGAAGCAGGTGTGGCCGTCCGAGCACGAGACCTCCAGCGCCATCTGCTGCTTCTTACGGTTACACCTGTCGCCGAGCGCACCAGGTCAGCGGCAGGGCCAGATTCTAGGCCAGGGTCTGAACCGGGGTCAGGCCGCACGCCGGGTCAGGGTCTGCGCCAACATAGGGATCTGTGCCAGCGTCAGGGTCAGTGCATGTGTCAGTTCTGTTTCAGAGTCAGTTTCAGGGTACGGGTCAGGTCAAACACAGGTGAGGGTCAGGTTAATATTAGGTTGTCAGCCTCACAAACGAAAGAAACGCACGAATCATTTTAGAACGTGCTGATAATGCACGAAGCAGCCTGGGCCATATTTTTTCCCTGATTTCTGGCTGTCTCCGCGAAAATGATGTGACTAACAGATGACCGGAAACGTTACGCCATTCCAAAGGGCAAAAGAGAATCAGTGCATGACCGCAGAAACGGGCAGAAGAAAGAGGATGTGACACTGATCATGACCTCCTCATTCACATTGCTTCTGTGAACGTCACAAAACATGGAATTAAATGGCAATGGAAATGGAAAATGGCTGGCCGGGCGAAATGGATTATATAGAGATGTGTGCTATAAAATGATTATCTCCACTAATTGATCGCATTACATTAATTGAAATAATAAATTAAGCTTAAAACAAATGTATCTCATCATCGGTTACCAAAAACATAATCTAGTACCAAAATTAGCCTTGTAACCAACGATGGGAAGCCCCCACGGAAAGACAACACACACACACGCTCTAGTCAGCCCATTGCTCGTTATGAAGCTGCACCACTCGCTGACCTCCACTCGAGCAGTGTGGGCGGGTAGACCCGGCTCAGTCTGCCATCTGGCGGTGACCGGAGCAACTTCTTCTGGCAGTCGGCCGCGTACCCATTCTGACCGTGGTCCGACACGTACCTGAAAGCGGCAGATAGTGTTGTTAAAAGGGGAAAATTGATTAGTCGATAAAATGATAAAATGCGATACGATTTAAAAAAAAACAATATCTGGATCACGCAGACGAGTAGTACCGTTGCTGGAATTCGCATGAAATTATACTTGAGTCGAACCTGAAAACTATACGAACTGCGTCAACCAATTTCAGCCGATCAAACCGGACGCGGGCATTCGGAACAAAACGCATTCGTAAACCAATCTTACTTTTAGCAGAGGAACTCACAAACGAGACATCCATTTCAAGCATCAGTCGCATTTCGTTTTCCAACAACTGGATGGCCCTAATATCGTCCATTGCGACTAATCAGCGACTTCTAGCGCCCTCCCCCCCCCCCCCCCCCCCCCACGAGCCCCCAACACGCCGACCGTGAATGCCTCCGAGGAGAGGCGTGTGCTGAGGGAAGGGTAGGAGTGGAGGTGGGGGGGAAAGGGTGCACTCGCCACTCACTTGAGCAGGTACTTGTAGAGCGTGTCGCTGGGCGGGAACACGGACAGGCAGTTGGACATGAGCAGCCAGCCTCGCTCGGCGTTTGCTTCGTTGTCGTTCTTCCACGTCTGGTTGCACAGCTGGCACAGGATCTCGTCGCGCAGCTTCTCATTGGTCAGACCCTGCCGAGGCGTCATGGAGAGGTCATGAGGTCATGCGGGCTCCTTGGCCGAATGTGCCGTCGATGACGTGGTTCGAGGTGAGGCTCGAAGAAAAAAACAAGAAGGCTCAGGCAGGCATCGACACTAACGGATACGTACCCTGCCGAGGCGGCGCCGCGTCCGATGAGCAACGGAAGGTCGCAAGGTCAATGAAAGGTCATAGGGCCATGCGGGCTCTCCAGCCGAACGTGCCGCTAATGGCGTGGTCCACGGTGGAACTCGAAGAAAAAACACGAAGGCTCAGGCAGACATTGACACTGGCGGCTGCGTACCTAAGTGGAACCCAATGGTACGTATGTGTACTGAGAGGGTCATGTACTTTGTTGTGATGTTTTGTACCCGAGCGCAGCTCGTCCAATGGTTGCGCAGGATCGATGTAATGTGACGTTATGTGGTGACACTCCAGACATGGTATGCGGCGCGTTTGTACAGTGACCGAAGATAGGGCTCAGCTGGTTGGCATTTCTAACCGCAGGTAACGCGTGGAAGGTCAGCGTTTCGCGGACAAAGAAGCGTGAAGGCACCCTTCAGTACTCTCAAACTTGAGAACCTCAACCTCTTTCGTTCTCTACCATCTCTCATCTAACACAGTCTAGAATCCAAGTCTTTGCCGAGTTGCATGGGTACATACGGCATCATCTCGGTTCCCCCTTCCCCTCTCGTCCTGCCGCTCACCTTGTTGACGATGTAGTCCCCCAGCGCCTTCTCGCGCGTGTCACTCAGGTTGTTGTCGTTCATGAAGCGCAGCACCAGCTTGAAGATGGCCAGCGACTGCTGGTAGTCGGCCTCCTTGGACTTAGCCAGGAAAGGCGTGCGTATCGGCTCCCTCTTCATGCCCCAGAGATGCGCCTGACGCAGCGGAGGTCACGGGTGTTGTCAGGGTTGCCATGGTGATGACGCCCCGAATTGGGTGCGACGACCCGCAGTTATTAAGAGAATTAGACGCCAATCCAAATCAACGACCGACAATCAGAGTATGATGGGCAACTTGTAATGCATCGCCGGAGTGAGACGATATACCGGCATGCTGACGCATCACATTGAGAAACAGCCACATCTTTTACCGTTATTCCTTGTACACATGATGCGAAACATGAACCCCAAGATGTGCAATATTTGAATGGTGATTATTTGTATCGGTGTTTGCAGTGAAATACGCGGTAGTATAAGACATGTGGATCACATCGGGTGGAAGTATAAGACATATGGATCGTCGGTGCACGCACGTATTTAAGAGTGGTAGTTCAGTGACATCCGTACGTAATATTAAAACTACACCACAACGCAAAGCCAGACCCAGACGTCGAAACATCAAACTCCGGCATGCAAGCAAAACACCATTCGAAAATAAGCCGAGAACGAGCCAGTGAAGACCCATGGGCGTCCCGCGGCTCACACCACACCACCAGGCGTCTTGGCTACGGCCTCACCTTGAAGTAGATGTTGGTGAACTTGGTGAAGGCGTGGTAATCGATGTCGTGTGGGAGGCTGAAACGCTCCTCGGGCGGGTCGACCTGGGCGCCGATCTTCATCAGGTTTCGGTCCGAGTGGGCAGGGTGCCAGTCTGCCGGCGGGCCAGTCACGGGGTCACGAGGTCAGACCCCAGCCGGACGGCGGTGGTCGCACTCCTGCTGACATCAGCGGCTGACTCCGACAGTGACACGTGTGTGCGGCACGGGACGCGCCAGCAAAGTGCCGACTATACTGCCCCGCGGCCGCCCGTATGCTTGTTCTGGGGTGGGGAATCGATGAGGGGGCGGTGACCCCGCAGCCGGAGGGGGTGCGAGGAAACGGCATCTGCTCCTGCCAACGGCGTGTATGTATATAGGGGCACTTGATGGCTTGTTATTTGGTTAATTTGATGACGCGGCCCTGTTGAATGTAAGCGGAATGCGGTCTCCTCGACTAGTGTCTCGTTCCTGGCGTTCGTCGAGAGAGAGAGAGAGAGAGAGAGAGAGACGAGAGAGAGAGAGAGAGAGAGGAGAGAGAGAAGGAGAGAGAGGAGAGAGAGAGAGAGAGAGCGAGAGAGAGGAGAGAGAGAGAGGGAGAGAGAGAGAGGAGAGAGAGAGAGAGAGAGAGACCTGAGCTAAGGCACCGTAGCCCTGACTATGCGTTCGAAAGCCGGTACTGTAATCTGGAAGTCCGAACACCGGAGACCGAAGCCAGGCGTGGGACCCGGACGCTGGACCTTGGGGTCACAAACTCCCCGGGTCCAGAGTCCGGAGTCCGGACTTCAGAGTCCAGAGTCCATATTCCAGAGCCCAGAGCCCAGCGCTCAGGGCCCAGGGTCCAGGGTCCAGGGTCCACGGTCCACGGTCCAGGGTCCAGGGTCCACGGTCCACGGTCCAGGGTCCAGGGTCCACGGTCCACGGTCCACGGTCCAGGGTCCAGGGTCCAGAATCCAGAATGCAGAATCGAGAATCGGGAGTCGAGAATCGAGGATCCAGAGTCCAGAGTCCAGAGTCCAGAGTCCAGAATCCAGAGTCCAGAATCGGCCTGCCGGCACTGACCGTCGAGCCGGCTGAAGATGAAGGCGAGCTCGGCCGGGATCTCCAGGTGGTTGACGCCAGCCACGGCCCGTGACGGGCCCCTCTCGCCGCCCGGCCGGTCTGCAGACGTCTTGGCGCGCGCGCGCGCCGCCCGCTCGGCCGCCACGCGTCGCTTCATCTCGCCCTGGAGTGGCGCGCCAAGGGCGGTCAGTACTCACCGCAGACACAGGGCGGGCAACTTAGTTTAAGAAGGTGAACCCCCTGTCGAGGTGTTGCGATTTTCACGCCGACTTTACTGCTGTAAAAATTAAGTCATATAGCCTAGATAGTAGGAAGAATGTTCATGTTCTAGACCTCACACTACCTGAAAACATGACTGAAAATGTCGCATGACTAAAAATTAAGTCATGGGACCTAGATAGCGGAAAGAATGTCCATGTCTTAGGCCTCACACTGCCTAAGAGACATTATGAAAAGTGTTTCATGATTAAGAATTAAGTCATGTGACCTAGATAGAGGAAAGAATGGCCATGTTCTATGCCTCACACCACCCAACGGGAACGGCTAGGCCTTAGGAAAGCTAACGCGTCAGGCAGGCCCAACATGCGTTGGTCACGATGCAAACGTCGATCACGTCTGCATCGTGATCGTGATCATCGCCTCACGTCGCATTTCCTCCGTCGACCTTAGCTTCCTGAGCTCTGGGCCACCGCACGGCTCCAACAGGCCCCGGAGCTCGTACCTTCATCTCGCCGAAGCGCCTTCGCTGCCGCTGCATGCGGAAGTTGGCCTGCGCCTTGACCATGCCGGCCCGAACGGTGCGGTACCGCTTGCGGTCCCGGTACATGCGGTAGTAGCTCTGTACCTTCACTGCTGACTGGCGCGTATTCCGGTACCGCTTCTCGGCCAGGTACCGGCGAACCTGGCGCCGGGTACAGGTACCACGTCAGAGCACTTGTGGGCTGGTGTGCCGCCATCGTGCCAGGCGCGGCGGCAGAAATAATGTGTGGGATAATGTCGGCAATGGCATAGATAAGCGGGCATCCTAAATATCTTGCAATTCCCAGCAGCATTTCGCATTAAGACACAAACACTCTTTCCAAGTAGCGACGCTCTACGGTGCCCCCTAAGCATGCGTGCTAAACTTCAAAATTCTTGGCTTCTTGTGTGTTTGATGTCCAGCACTTTGACAGACACAGGCATGGCATCGAATCGCAGTTGACTTAATGCTGATATGAGATATCTATGAAATAACTAATTCATTTCTTGAGCTCCCCAGCTTTCAAGTTCTCGGTGAACGCAAACCAGCCCGTGCCGGCCCGCCTCACGTACGTTCTTCTGTATTTTGATGGCGGCGTCTCCCTGCACACGCAGTCGCCGGCGCTCCAGAAGCTGTTCGAAGCCCTCGCGCAGGAACACCTTGGTGGTGCCCAGCTGGTACTCCTCGCGTGACTCCGGGTTGCTCTCCAGTATCATCTGCAGGGCGCGTCGAACAGGTCAGTCTCCGGTGTGAACGGGTGTCCCACGCCCACCGCTGAACTGCATTGCATGGGGGGGGGGGGGGCGAGGAACATCGGTCATAAGTACGAACGTTGATTTCGTGGGAGAAATTTGTTCACATGACCTCAAATCAGTCTGCAATATTGAAGGTACCTTCCTCCGTTCTTTGGCTCGGTTTCTGTTGAGGGCATAGGTGTGTTCCGCAATATATGTTCTGTCAGCCAGACCCCAAACCCCGGTTCCTTTAAAGCCCCGCTCACCTCCCCCTCACTCCTCCCCATCTACTCACCCTGGCCACGTCCCTGACCGGCGTGCCCCGCGATAGTCTTCGGTTCCTATAAGGCCCCCTCCCCCTCCCTCCTCCCCGTCCACTCACCCTGGCCACGTCCCTGGCGGGCGTGCCCCGCGGCAGTCGCTCGGGAAGCAGGCCGCGGTACCGGTCGGCGAACTGGGCGAAGCGCAGCCGCACCGGGTAGCCCAGCTGGCGGATCCGGATGGTGTCCAGCATGCCGGTGTACCGCAGCTGCTCCAGCACCACCGGCATGTCGAACTTCATCGCCGCCTTCTCCGCGTTCGGCTTGACGCAGCGGATGAACCACGGGTTGCACCTGGAGACGATGGTCGTCGTGACGACGATGGCCAGGATGGTGACGACAGTGATGCGGGGATGTGACTGAGCAGGACGGATGATGAGCAAGGATGACCAGCGAAGGGCCGTTGGAGGACGTGGGCGAAAAAATGCGATGAAAACGTGGAAGGCTGCAGTTGGAGACTTTAGACGAAACGCAAGTTTGTGGTGAAGGAATGATATGAAACATGACACTAGCGATCCATTCTCGTGCATATCAATAAGAACCTGTGTCCTCATTTGGCGGTGAATAGCCAACGCAGGTCACACAGAACAGTGCATATCCAAGCAAAACTCAACGAATACCTCAGGATGACCTGCAGGCTCACTTCATCAGCTATCACATGTCTGACTACTTCGCTGACTTCAGTCATACACTCACTTAGTCATCGACTCCAGCAACTGCGTGAGGCTTTCGTGGAAGCGGGCGGCTACGGTGGGCGTCCGCGGCTTCATCGTGACGAACCGGCCATTGCTCTTGTTGGCCGCCTTCGCCGCCTCGTTGTGGGCTCGGTGCTCCACAAACATCTCCGAGATCATCTAGGAGAGGGTCAGGTCAGGTACAGTCAGTCTGAGTTCAGACCTTTAGGCTGATGTTATTTTGGGATCAGTGGGATCAGTGGGATCGTTGGGAGAACGCAACTAAGATGGTTTGCCCAAACGGAGCGATCAAAAATAAGACAGCCGGTAAAAGGCAACGCAACACAAGTTTTCTGTGAACCGTCACTGAGCACTAGAACCGTTGATGCGCACCTTTCGTTGGTAAATGCTCGACCATTCGCAACCCAGCTGGGGCTGGATCTGCTGGAGCAGCTCCAGCAGCTGGAGCTGACCTCACGGCTGATTTTCCAGCGCAGGGGGACGGGCGAATCAGGGGGACAAGGAGCAACTTCCCCTTCTCCCTACAGAAAATCTTACCATTAATCCCCTGGAGTTGAACAACACGAAATGACTTTGACCCGACTATACCACCTCAACTCTAGGGGCGTCTTGCCGCCCCTGCCACGACGCGTCGCGTGAAGGGGTAGGCATCCTTCTCACCGGCACGTCGCTGCTGACTAGTAGGTCCAGCACGTCGTTCCTCAGGATGTCGCGGTTCTTGTCGAGGAAGCCGTCCACGTTGTACCAGACTTGGCCGGCGTAGTGGTGGACGCCGAACTCCATCGACGACATGCGTGGCCTGGCGGGTCACAGAGGTCAGGTCAGGGTCAGGAGCTGAAGGCCAGCAGAGAACGCTCGTGTTTTTGGTCATGTGGCATATGAGCAACATTGTTTACAGCAGCGTTTCGCAAGTTTCCTTACTTTGCCGAGCCATCAACTGCTTCCGCTATGTTCTGGCAGTTCGATTCATGCTGTGAATAGCGCCGACTGCCTTGGATTAAAAGTGATACATGCCAGCGTCCAGAGTCCTATATATAGTTCAGAGTCCTAATAAGTCCAGGTTTGACTTATTCACTATCAACCGACTGTGTGGTATCAGTACCGGCTGTAGAGCTCGTCGAGCGCGTGGTTGTAGTGGAGCTTCTCCAGCAGCGAGACGTCCGTGGCCTTGGGGAAGTTGGACTCGTCGTCCAGCAGGTGGAAGATGCCGACCGGCTTCTTGCTGATGAGGTGCAGGACAGGCCAGTTGTCCTGGAAACGGACGGTGTCTGTGTTAGACAACAGGTCCCGCTGGTGTCTGGAGCTCAGATCTCACCCGGTGAGCCAATATCCAGGCGCTGGCAGCTGGCGCGAAGTGGCGTAGTGTGGAAAGACATGCCAGGATATCGGCTGATGGCGCTGGAGAGACGCTGGACGAGCTGGTGAAGCCTCCCGGCAGCACTAGGCGAGCTGGTGGGGCCTTACAGCAGCACTGGACGCCTACTAGCTGCTAGGCGATGCCAGTGTTGAACCCGACATGCCTTTTTCGAACGTTTTTCTGATGGTCATGGATTAGAGGTACGGAGTGGTAAAAACGTCCTTAGGGAAGTACGCCAGCGACACCTTCAGCATCTTCGGGCAATCGGCGCCGCAGTCCGTCATGACGATTAACACGGGGAACGAAAAACTCAGGACCATGGTAAGGATCAAACCCAGGACCTCTCGCACATGGTCGTGTGTAAACGCCCTACCAGCTTATATACGCCGTCCACCATTTTATTGTTAATATTGGAATCCCACCACATATACCAAAAGGTTGTGGGGGCAGGTTCGGAATGAATGAGTTATCTATCCTTTGGCACGCACATATCAACGAACAGATCACACTGTGACTCGAGAAGGCAAGTCAATGACCTGACCGCGGTGGTAGCGAGCCGTACCTGGAAAGCGATGCTCTGCCACTCGATCTTCTCCTTCAGGTACTCCTGCTGCTCCAGCTTGAAGATGTGCTTGCTGAAGTGGTACTGCAGGGTCTCGTTTGCGTAGTTGATGCAGAGCTGCTCCAGGCTGTTCTCCTGTGGAAGGATGTAAGGCGTTGCAATTTGTATAGGCTAGCTCCAAATAAATAAATTATATGTGTTGCTCGAAATGGATACATCACAACAGACTAGCTTGCGCACTATGCTAGAACAGCACATTTCAATGAGAGGAAAAGAAAAACGCTACAGTGACGGCAAGCGCCTCTCGCCTTCCAACACATAGAACGTCAGTTACAGCAATTATATATGTTCAATAATAGTTAAATAATCAAAAAATATAATGTTCAATTATAGAACAGCAGTCAATACAGGGCTCGCACCCTACAGCGTGTCCTGCTAAGTATTCGGGTCAGGTGCGAACTGCCTTCTTGCTGCGCGCTGATTACTCTGTAGCTGGCTGGGTCCATGCTACTTACTTTGAGCCGAGTTTTTGACAGTTCAGACCGCATGCTATCTCTTATTTAAAGCTTGACATATATTGCATCACAATTCTTAATCTAAAATCTTCACGCTGGATCTAGGGTTGACTCGAAGTGGCATGTTTACATGATTTAGGGCACAAAGATTTAAATAGCCTTGTGAAACCGTGATGTGCATGACTTCATGAAGCTCTATCATGCCGCACAATAATCACGGCACTCGCTGAACCGCGAACAGCACTGAAACTGACCTTGAAATCCTCGAAGCCGAAGATGTCCAAGATGCTGATGCTCATCTTCCTTGAACCCTTGTACACGATCTGGTTGATTCTGCGCACCAGCCAGCTGAAGAGGCTGCTGTAGAGCACCTTGGAGATGGCGTCTCGGGCGTCCAGGGCCTGGTCGATGTTTAGTGGCGTAACCACCCGCTCGTTCCGGGCCTCCTGTGTGTCAGAGGTCATCTCAGGTCAAGTCAGAGATCCCATCAGACCATGTCAGAGGTCACACCAGGCCAGCTCAGGTCACATCGGATCAGACCAGACGTCACCTCAGGGCAGGTCACAGGCCACTTTCGGTCAGGCCCGAGCCCCCTCAGATGTGGTCAGAGGTCGCATCGGACCAGCTCAAAAGTCACATCAGACCAGCTCAGTCACCTAAAGCCAGACCTATTCCACTCGGTCCTGACGCATCACACATACACACTCCCCTCTCCTGGAAGCATCCTAAGACACACTTAGATGACCTTAACTTAGACAACCTCAGATTGAGCCTGATCGTCGCCGCGATACCTCCCATCCCAGCTCCGGCCCCGACTCTGAGCCGCGCCGACGCCCGAAGGCGGCGACGGGGAGTCCAACTGACCGTGGTCTTTGTCATGAGGGCGCGGCGCACCCAGTCGGTCTCGATGCCGAGCAGGTGACCCAGCCAGCGGACCTCGGCGTCCGAGCCGATCTCGACGCCCTCCTGGCCGTGCTTCAGCGGCGCCCGGTGGAAGTAGATGTTGCCCAGGTGCAGCACTGCCGACGGCAGGGGAACGTCAGCCTCCACACACCGCGGCCTGGGGCTGATGTCGGGTGCGGTATACCGCGGACAGGGGCTGAGGTCGGGCAGGGACCGCGGGCAGGGACCGGGATCAGCTTAGGTACACCTTATCCAGGGGTGTTAATGGACCTCACCCTCTCTTCGGGTGGTTTTGCCGAAGACACCTCACCTGAGGCAAGGATCTTGAAGATGTTGTCCTGCTCGTCGGACGAGAAGCCGAGCACCTGCATGGCCGACAGCAGGGCCTGGAAGTCTTCCTTGTCGTACTTGCCGTCGATTTCCACACTGCCGCCCTGTATGGCGGTGGAACGTGTTAAACCTCACGAACTTGGTCGAGGCTGAATGTGACGCCATTGGTGTCATGGTCCAGAGGCCAGCTCTTCCTTGGTAAGGTACCAGGCTCAAGTAGGTATCTGTGACGTCACAGATAGCGACGCGGTACAAGTACGCCCGCACGTTCAAAGCACAGGGCTTAATGTGACGTAGTTACCTGTGGCGTAAGAAGTGACAGTCTGAGGTAAGTCAGTGTCCAATAAAGAAATGGTTTTGTCAAAAGTAAATTGTTGTACGCTTAACTTGCGTGAATACAGGCCCGGCGTCGGTGTAAACAGCTGTCTCCGCTTCGCCTCGCGATAAATTACAAAGTCATATGATGTGCTCCACGACCCTGCTGATGCATCGACAAGGTTGTTTTGCGAATGCTTGCGAAAGCAATTCCTCCACACTATTGGGACACCGAAGAGGGCGGCAATCAAACGAAATGGAGCGAGTGTTTGTGCGGGGGTGTTTGTGCGCCTGCCTGGTTCAGGTAGAAGTACTGCTCTGCCGACAGCAGGCCGTATTTCTTCTTGTCCTCCTCGCCCAGACCGGCCAGCATCTCGTAGAACACGTGGTAGTTGCGCTCCTCTTGCGCGTGCGTGACGATCCGCGACTTCTCCAGCAGGTACTCGGTCGTCCTCGCGCCGGTGATGATGCCCCTGTCACGCGGGAGTTCACGTGATGTGATCACGCGCTTTCCAGCCCGCGCCGGCTGATGTGGGATGAGTGACGGTGTATACGCTGCCAGTCGGATCGACTCTGCCATTGCCATCAGTAACGCCGCTGAACGACACGGCTCGACTCTCCGCTACATCCAGGTTCTGCCGTAGCAGCTGGCATCGAAGCGGGTCACCGCGCGCCGCCGGCGCCACACGGCGCCGGGCTGGGCCAGCTGACCAAGATGTAGGACCGATGTCAGCTGGCTTATCGCATCGGCGATGACAGAGTTACGAGCCGGCCGCCCCGCACGCGTTTGCAGCGGGAGCTCGCTGCTTAGTGCGGCCCCTGGAGAACGACGGACCCAGACACCGAGCGAGACCTATCGTTGGTCGCATCTCGGATGGAGATTTGTGCATGTGGCAGGTGCATAACAGCAGCCTTTGCGGAATCCGGGAGCATATCGCAGTGATCGTCAAGCATAAGCATGCATGAGCGAAGGATCATGTGCGTACATCATGACGTTTTTTTTATTACATTTAAGTATTGCCTTGTGACGGCCGAAACCATAGACGGGCATAAAAGTTGCGATTTACGATGCGGACGGTGGTAAACGTTATTATGAATTATTGTCAGCATGAGAACTTTCAACTCATAACGCCGAAAAACCAGGAGCTCACATTCTTTCATTTTTATATGAAGTACGAATCAAGTATAACTAGAGACCGGTTTACTTACTCCTTAAAGTAAACTTCCAGGTACTTTCCGAAGCGGGAGGAGTTGTCGTATGAAGTACGAATCAAGCATAACTAGAGACCGGTGTACTTACTCCTTAAAGTAAACTTCCAGGTACTTTCCGAAGCGGGAGGAGTTGTCGTTGCGCATGGTCTTGGCGTTTCCAAAACTCTCCAGCAGAGGGGTCGCCTCCAAGATCTGAGAATGGTTATGCGAACGATGTTTATGACCCGCTGGTACTCATACGCATCAACACATGTAAGACGTGCAATGGTATACACAATCCAAGTACAATGAATCTACCAGGCCGCGCATCTACTCTCGCAGTCTCTCCGCAACGGACTGGTGGTGACAAGATCCTGCCACATGTGACGTAATGCATTTACACCACACACGGAGATGGCCGTCTGCGCCCCCCCCCCCCCCCCCCTCCCCAACGCCACCCCAGCTCTGGCGTGACGACGCTCCACTGGCCATGATCCACTGGCAGTCACTATGCGCCTGTTCGCTGTCCTCTTCCACGCCTGGCACTGCGCTGACGCGTGCCTCCGCGGCGCCCCCGAGACCCCCTGCCTCGTGATGAGTGGAGGGGGGGGGGGGCTGGCTGTGACCCACCCGCTCGACAATGAGGCCGCAAGACAAATGCGACCGCCAGCCGCCCGCTCGTCACCAGAGTAGAACAGCGCCGGGACCCACCAGTTCGATGATGGCGTTCTGGGGCGACTGTGACCCACCTGTTCTGTGATCAGGTTGGAAGGCGACTTGTTGACGGCGGCCAGGTACTGCATGATGAGCTTGGTGGCCTCGGTTTTGCCGGCGCCGCTCTCACCGCTGATCACCACGGTCTGCTGTTCGCGCTCCTTCGTCATCCGGCTGTAGGCCGACGACGCGATCGCGAAGATGTGCCTGAGGGCAGGGCAGATCAAGGTCAGTCGAAGGGCATGAGGCGTCACGGTCAGCCGATGGGGACAGGTCAGATCGGGTCATAGTCATGGCGATTCGATTTGGAGCGTTCACGAGAGATGACCAACCAGAGAGGGGTAGGCTAGTTCGGCACGGGGCAGTTACTAAATCTCGCAGCTTGTCAAGTAAAAGCATGGCAGTGGGATGGAGGTTGACCATACGTTGGAATTGTCAAGAGCTTCACGGGAAGCTCTTGTAGATCTATAAAACTGGATATGAAAGTTGATAAGGAACTCTAGATAATATTTTATTACAGCCATAACGCAACAATATGTACAAGACATTCGCTGTCTACTTCCAAGGTAAAAGCGAATGCGGCGTAATCCACGCCAAGCACGCGGCTTATCCACACTTGTGATCCAAGTAACACGGCCCACGCGGCCGGCCTGTTTCCCAGATGATGCGACACCCACGAGCGAGCCAGCCTGTCCTACTCACGGTGGTAGAGATCCCAGGATCTGGTCCTCGTAACGCTTCACCATGTCCAGGCCGTAGATGTCGAACATGCGGTACGGGTTGACCGATACCAGGATGCTGCCCGTGTAGGTCTGCAGTGGACGACGGGGCGCCCGGTGAGGACACGACAGGAGAGGCAAGCCCTCGCCCCCCCCCCCCCCCCCCGACCGGACCCGGCCAGGGCCGCTGGAACGGATCCGCCTCCACATTACCGTAGGCTGTCGTTACGGCAATGAGTCCAACGAGAGGCGTTGGATACGGAAGTCACAGGTATGAGAGCTACCCGGTACAATGGTCACAGGTCACAAAATTGCCCTAAACAGAGGTCACAATTCACAGGGCCTCCCGATGCAAAGGTCACAGGTCACAGGGTCGCCCAATACAGAAGTCACAGGTCACAGAGTCGCCCAATACAGAGGTCACTGGCCACAGAGCGGTCTGGTACAGAGGTTACCGGTCACAGAGCCGCCCGGTGTACAGGTGAGATTCGTGTCACAGCAGACCCAGCCCGGGCAGATGTAGCATCACGATCGACAGACGCACGTGGACTGTTTTATCTTCCCAAAGTTTGATACACTCAGGACGAATGCAGTTCGTGGGTAATGCCCAAACTTGACAAAGACTGGGACGTTGTTTAGCTGAAAAGGCTCACAAAGACACACGCCAATTTGTCCCGTATTAAACCAAACTTGCATCAACCCCATCTCGTAAACGCGTGCGTTCTTACGTATATCATCTCCTTGTCGTATCGTAGTTTCAGGTTCCATAAGATGGACGCCTCGTTGAGGTCACTGAAAAAAGACATTTCTGTCAGACACGTTTTGGAATAAGGTCATTTACGCTGTTTACGCATTTACGCATTTACGCCGTGGACTTGTAATTAAAAGGTACATGATCCTCAAGCTTTGTTTGCATGTCGGTTTTACATGCATTAAATCCTTTAAGACGTACATTTTTTTCCAATGGCATATCAAATTATCAACGATAAGTGAAAAGCCCGCAATCCCAAAACAAGCTTTTACCAACGACTTCGCGTTCAATGTTGTAAACCCGTTAAGTACGCATGACGGCAAAACATTACGGGCGGATCAACACCGTATCCACATCCTCCGGGACCGTGGCCTTCAATGAATTTCTAGTGTCATCGCAGCAACGCATGTTACACCTGCGTCAGCTGGTATAGGGGAAAGCAATTGTGGAAATGAACAAGAGACCCCACGCACATAAATGTCGCAAATCTGCTGTCACACGGCGCTGTGCAGCTAGGAGAGTGATCTGCACGCCAATACGCCTCCACTTCACCGGAATACATGTACTCGATGGAAGACGGCGGTTTGGAACTTCTGCACACCGCAATGACGCGGCGGTCATAGCCACAAGCAAGGTGTCTTTACTGACTCTGGGGGCCTCATTAGCAGCCGGCACCGCACGTTCTCTGCATGCAGCTGGCGTGCGGATGTGTGCGTACGCACTCACCCATGTCTGCGCGGACCACACGCCACACACACAACGGCACAGTTATTGGCTCTGACTAAATCTACAATCTGCGGAGTGGCTGGCCAAGGCGGAGTGGTAAGTGTGTGGGAAGTCGGAAAAGAAGTCTCACCCGATCGCGATCATGTCGTCGACGCCATTCTGTCCCAGGTCCTGCCGCTTCCTCAGGTTCGCCAGGTTGGTCAGCGTGAACACCTGCGGCTGTGGAGCACACGGAGCACGCGGACGTGAGTACGCGCCGCTTCAGAACACGCGAGGCGCATATCACTGCAAGCTGGTTGCAGAGGAGAAGCACTATGGTCCTGGTCCTGGCCAGCGAGCATCAACAGCAGCATCAACAGCATCTGCAGCAGGGAACCGCAGACAAAGCACGAGCACTGCTGTAGCATGCCCGGTGACTGCCGCTATGACACGGCGTGTCGTGGCGGACAGCTACATCCGATGCTTGGGAGCGTCAAGACCGCTGCCACAGACGAGCGTGTCCAGCAGACGCGCTTCAAGCTCTGACGCGGCGTCGGTAGTGTCTGTACGGGCTTCCGCTGGCAACCTGCCCACCTCAATCAACCATCAACTCACTCACGCTCATGCGAAAGTCGGGGGCCTACGTAGGCATAAAATATGTCATGCAACAGTGTTGGGTACCTGGATGCAGGCGCAGAAGAGGATTAACCATAACAACTGAGTGACGAGGCAGCATAAGTCAACTATACCGTGCCAGTCCTTCCGAACAAAAATACACCAGCCGAGTTGAAGCGATTCGTCTGAATAAGACGCACCCGGCTTCCGTTTCGTAGGTCTTTTCGCTCACGAAATTTACCAACTGTGGGTTGTTAAATGAGGTAGAGATCATTAAAGCGTTCATAGCACCATGAAGGGTCAACAATATTCTTGTCAACTTCTGGTATGTTTAGTTCCGCTAATGGTGGATGATTACGGGCATTTGTGGTGGAGCCATACCGCCCCAGAGCGTCACGGATACGTACGGAGTACGCCGTGTCTTACGACGTTTTGACGCCTGCAAATACGCAAGCCATTCGGTTCTTTAGATCTTATGCAGTAGACGCTAGGGCAAATGCGATAGATACTGGGGTGGATACTGGGATGGATTTATTCACATTTTAACGGTTCTTAAATTATGCCATATTTGGGGTCCACGTAAGCATAACGAATGTCACGCCGAAGAAGCATAACTCATTCGGCTGATTCCTCAAAGAAGCAGCGACGTCTTCCTCACCACAGTCCGTAGTGAGTCCGTTAGGGACAAGTTTTTCCCACGATGGTTTCCTCCGCACAGGTTTCCTCAATGGATTCCTCCACCCTTTTTGCATCAATACGTCACCTAAATACGGAGCATGCACGCCATTCTGACCACTCACGTTGCGAATGAGGAACGTGACGCACGTCTCCTGCAGGGAGGGCGGTGCGTGCCCCGCCGGCGGAGACGGCCCGGGCGCGGGTCCGGTCCTCCCAGCGCCCCCTCCCTCCGGCGTCCTCCTCCACCCCGTCACTGAGTTCCCGGTGGTTCTCGGTTCGGCGGATTCGCGCCGGTGCGCGGCCCGGCCTCCGGCCATCTCGTGGCCGCGGCCCGAGCAGCGGCGGCACACGCGCCCCTCCCGTTCGTCTTCCAGACTATCGCCACGCCCTCGCCAGCTCGGCTCGTCTTCCGGAGCGGCCTCCAGGCTACCGTGGCGACCCCGACGGGCCGCGCTACCTCCAGGGGCATCCTCCCTACCACCGACGCGACCCCGCCGGCCTCGCTTGTCCTCCGGGGTGTCCTCTGAGCTCCTCGTCCTCCCCCTGGTCGGCGACCGGCCCTCGGGCGGCCGGCGCGACCCCGGCGGCGCGGGCCCGCCGTAATTCGCTGCGCCGCTGGCGGGCGGTGCCGGCGGGGCATCGGCGGCCGCCCGCTGCCGCCGCCGGCTGCGGTCCGATGGATCGTCGGGTCCGCGGCGCCCGCGACGATGCTGGCGCCGGCGGCCGGCAGCGGCCGGCGGCGGCCGCTCCGTCTCACCGAAGTAGCAGAGACTGAGGAACTGCACCTCGTGCTCGGCGAGGCGCTCCAGTGGCGAGGCGTCCAGGAGCGAGTCCGGACCGCCGTCGACGCCGCGCAGGGACGGCATGCTGCGAGGGGCGCCCCGGCCCGCAGCGGACGTGGCCGGTCCCCAGACAACGGTGTCGCCAGCCCCGCTGGTGCCAACCCTCGACCTCATCGTCCGCTGTCACGTGACGACAAGACGCGTGACGCCGTCAGTGACTTCAAGGCGCGTCACGACAACGAGGAGGCGAGGGAAGGGCAAGTGTTCGGGCAAACGGTCGGGCAAAACTACAGAGGCTTCGACCGGTCACAGGTCCTGCAGCTAACGCCAAGGGTGCATGAGGCTCCTGAAGACGCCACGTCTCGCAGTGCACACTCTGACACCACTTAGCCACGGATGGTGTCCCTAATCAGATAAGCGGCCGTGTGTCACAGTCTCTAGCGTGCCGCTGGCGAGGATCCGCGCAGACACCGAGCTTCAGTGACGGCCGTTTCGGGGCGCGTTCGCCGACGCTGTGCTTTGGCGGCGCCGGCGCGAGCCGCGCTGGCCCGCGCTCCGCCGGCTCCGTCGCTGCCACCGCAGAGGGGCGCCCGTCGTCCTCCGAGCTGACACCATCACACGTGCACCCCGCCAGTCATCGCATCGCCTGGTGCCGGGCGGCAGGCCGGGTGGTGCTCCCCTCACACTATGTGGCCGGGTCCGCGGGGTCCGGCCGGCCACCGGCGCCGGTGACTGGGTCTGTCCACCTCGACAGACCACGTGGTCTGTCCACTCCGGCAGACCACCTGGTCTGTCCACTCCTGCAGACCACCTGGTCTATCCACTCCGGCAGACCACTTGGTAAGTTTACTCCGGCAGAGTATCTGGACTGTCCACTCCGCCAAAACCCTGGTGAGTTCACTCCGGCAGACCACCTGGTCTGTCCACTCCGGCAGACCACCTAGCCTGCCCACTCCAGCAGACCACCCGGTCTATCCACTCCGCCAGACCACCTTGTAAGTTCACCCCGGCAGACCACCTGGACTGTCCACTCCGGCAGAGTACCTGGACTATCCACTCCGGCAGAGTACCTGGACTGTCCACTTCGACAGAACCCTGGTGAGTTCACTCCGGCAGACCACCTGGCTGTCCACTCCGGCAGACCACCTGGTCTCTCCACTCCGGCAGAGTGCCTGGTCTGCTCACTCTAGTAGATCGCCCGGTCTGTCACATCACACTCCAGAAGACGACCTGGCGTACCATCCTCCAGTGACGCGCGCCTGGTCTGTACTGCCTGGCTTCTTCACCCCAGCTGGCAACCTGGTCTCCACACCAGACTGCCGGGTGTCCACACCAGACCGCTGGGTCTCCACACCAGACCGGTGGGTCTCCACACCAGACCACCGGGTCTGCACACCAGACCGGCGAGTCTGCACACCAGACCGCAGCGTCTGCACACCAGACCGCCGGGTCTGCGCACCAGACCGCCGGGCCGCCGGTTCCACACCTGGCCCGCTCTCTCAGCCGGTAGCACTAACCTAGTGCGCCTGCCGACTAAGCATGGCTGCCAGGCCGGCGGCGGCGGCGGCGGCGGAGCAGCCAGCGTGACGTCACGCTCTGTGACGTCACGCTCCATCGGCGCGCGCCGTCGGCAATGGGGCCGTGACCCCGGTCACGTGACGGCCGGCGGCACGTGTCGAGGGAGGGGGGAGCGGCGTCACGTGATGCCGGTCATTGTTGGTCCGGAAGCGAAGAAAAACTGGTTCACACAGCGATGGACAGTGGTCAACGGCCGGACTCTCATCGCGATTACCATCATTAATTACCGGAGTGGAACAGCAGTAGGTCAAACAGGTCGTCTTTAGCGACCAGCCCGGACTACATATACTACACAGCATTCCGGATCTGACTGCCTGTAAAGCTAGCAGCAGTTTTCCTGAACATCCGTGGGGTGCACGTGCATCAAAGGAAACAGATCCTCCGATTCAAGGGGCGGCAGTCAGGGGAAAGCTCGTGCTCGTTTCTGGAAAGTGCATAAGGCTCGGGAGACTGCGCCGCTTCAGCTAACAGCAGCTCTCGGTATTACCAGACAGCGCCTGCCGCGCGAGCAGCCCACTCGGCAACTCCGATGCCGCAGGCCTTCAAGCAACGAAACAGGCACGGCGCGCTGCCAAGTAGAGCGCATCATTGGAGCGCTGGAAGCAGCCGGCGCCCGGTCATGGCCCGGGTGCTGGTGACGTCAGGCGTGGAGGCGTCGGCTTGGCTGGCTTCGGAGTATGCGGAAACTCCGGATAATTGTTACTTTTTCGGCGGCGACGGCGCATCGAAATTGGGGTCGATCGATATCAATGAAGAGACAAGTTTAGAGCTTCAAATCTCACGCACGTGACGACGACGAAGATTGAGAGACAGCACATGTGGACCGCTGTTCCATCATCCTTCGGTTTGGGCGTCAGGCGTCGTTTGGTTACGGTCTTCTTTCCCACGATGTCACTGATTACCACCTTTTATGGCACCGCGCATTACGCTGCATGATATGTGTTCAGTAAATCAAATGAACTAGCCACATATACGGCAGGTGAAGCCCACACGTCGCTCAAGCAGTCATTGGTTGCCCAATCGCAATCAAAGCTCGACAGTGCTCCGGTAATCATGACCCGACCGAGCCGCCTTGAGGCGCTGCCAGAGCAGAGGTCGTCCCCCTTAGGCGCAATTTTTTAAACTTTAGAGCTATAGACGGCTCCTTCCGTTCTTTCATGCTAAGTGCCGCCTGATTTTCGCCCACTCCCCCCTCCCCCTCACTCGCCGTAAGCAATCCTGGCTACGCCCCTGGAGCCGCCTCCAGCGCCCACGCGCTGGACGGGGCCCGGCCCTGGCTGCAGCCACTCGCCGCCTCTCGCCGCGCCACCTCGGCATCGGCTCCGATAGTCCGGCCGTGTGCAATGAGGTATGCGGACACAGTCGGCGGCTATGGAGGTCGGCCGCTCGGGCGCGCGCCAGGACTCATCGGTGCACACCGTTACACCAGCTGGGACGCCGGCCGCCGCTGCAGTCGGCCGCCGCTGCACGTGGCGGGCTGGACGGTCTTCGTTGGTCGTCTTCTAGGACTCGTCGCATGTTCTCGTTGTTTGGTGGGTGATTCCTCCTGCATAAGCTCTTTGTCGAAGCGCATTGCAATTGTCGCCAATGATTTCCCTCTTCTTGCCTTTCACGTCCCATTTTGTTTGTGTTCTTTTCTTCCCGTCAGTTGTCCTGTTGCTCACTAATCGCTTTTTTGTTTTTTTTCTGCCTGCCATTTTCCTCTAGTGCATCCATCTTTTGGCCTCGTCCCAGGATTTCCTCACCAGTTGACTTGGCATCCCTTTGTTTGCTGTTTTGCTTCTGTCCTTTCCTCCTCCGGCAACCCGCCGTTTCTGCACGTCCAAATGCATGCCGTCATTTCCAGTTACTGCTGCACTCACAACGTCCCTCGTCGTCCCTTGCATAGGAAACGGGACCACATCACAACTGAGTCCATCTGATATCACCGCAGACATAGGTTCTTGCTGCTATACGTCTGGGAATCCGGCACATGGCCGCAGCCGCCCAACCGGCAGTTAAACCAATCGTCTGGATCTGGAGGCGTCTGAACCACCGTTACGATCCGAAGTCTAAACCCGTCCCTTGAATCAGGCCGGTGCAGTGAGAGAGCTCCCGGCGGCTGGCGCCATGCCAACCGGTGGATTCCTGACGACTAGCGAGCGTGCGTCTGAATTCTGCCTTTTATTGGCAATTCGGCCGCGTTACCAACGTTACCGCAAAGCGGCATTGCGCCGAGTCTATAGTGACGGAGCAAATGGCTGGGAGTAAAATTAGAAGCATCAGTTCTTATGCAGTTGGCCAGAAGTAGCAGAAGTAGCAGCTCTAATTGTGCTTTAGCTAAACAGATGCTGCAGGGGCATGCAGACGCGGGGTGTACAACAGCATCAACTTCGCACGTGCTATCCCGCGGCTTCATGGTGGAATCACCGATAAGATTTAAGTCACCCTATGGCTTATAGCTGTAAACATCTGTACATAAGATTTAAGACGAGTGAGAAGACTGCGTAACGACATTAAGACCGCGGTGATGGTGCTGCAGTTTGATGGTGAAATCAGCCGTAAAGCGTTCTGCTATGATTCATTCTACTAACAACATTGGTGTTTGCAGAAGTCTGGAACAAAGCCTAGATAGCAATCTAGGTGAGTCGCCCCAAACCATTATTAAGGCCATACAATGAGCTTTACCACCTACCTGTGGTTACGTATCCGCAATCGGCGGCTTATTACCTCATTGCTCAACACGTACAATTTCACTTGATTCAAGATGTCGGAGAGCAGCACGGCATCGTCTCAGTTAATACATAAGCCTGCAGCTTCATCGGCATTTACTCACATGACGTGCGACGTGCGTAAGTGACAGTGACCTTGACCCAACCACGACCTGACTGTGAACCGACCATCAGCCGACCATGACCCGGACGTGACCCGACTGACCTTTCCGTTGACGACCGCCTGGACGGTGACCACCTGACCGGCGCGGTGGAACTCCGTGACCTCTCCGGGCAGCACGTAACCCACGCCGGGGTCGAACCACACCAGGTCCCCCTGCGGGCACACGGAGGCACCTTTTCAGCGTCGGTCCACCTGCCAGGGACATCGCACCACACGCCGGGTCAGGCGCCGGGTCAGGCTGGGGAGGAGCAGGCGCTGAGTCGGGCTGGGGAGGGACAGGCTCCGGGTCAGGCTGGGGAGGAGCAGGCGCCGAGCCAGGCTGGGGAGGGGCAGGCGCCGAGTCAGGCTGGGGAGGGATAGGTGCTGGTCAGGTTGGGGGAGGGGCTGGCAGGCTCCTGCGGTGTCCAGGAGTTATGCGGGCAGCCTCTGGCGAACCGTGGAACGAACGCATTCGGCCAAATTGTCTTTGATTCGCTCGGCTACGGGCAGTCAAACACCAGCGTAATTTGTGAGCCTATGGGTATCACCGTGCGCTTGGTTTTTAATTGTTTCTTTTTCCATGCGGGTTACCTGCAAGTAAACACACCACCAACTGCATGACAGGCACATACGAGAGGAAAATTTTTTGCTGTGTCACGATCAGCTGGGCATGTTGTGTGATAGGCGTGTGGGATCCAAATTACTCCGCTCCAGCTGCTTCTTCATGTCCTAACATACGTCACACCGCGTCCGTCACACGCTGAGCTGTGGAGGTGCTGCAAGTCACGGACATTCTCATTGGCAACGCAGCCAGTGCTGCTTGGTCATGGCAGAGGTGTTCGTCACCGTCACCCACTTGTGCAGAGGCGGGACGTCTTCTGCCCCGGGGCGGTCGAGCCGGCTGGCCGTTCAGCGGCAGCGACAGCCGACCCAGGCTCTTGCACCGCACCACACCACACATCGCGCAGCGCGCCGCGCCCTCTCTGAGATCCTCCGCCGAGCAGAACTTGCGCTCACCGCCGGTAGCGGCGCTGGCGTCGCGGCGCGGGGCCGGGCACCGGTCGGAGGCCGCGGGCCGGCCCGGCGGCGACGGCGGTGAGATCTGAAGAGCTCTGCTGGGAGCCGAGCGCGAGCGCGGTGGCTTGGCCGGCGTGGAGCGGCGCCGTGCCGGCCGCCGGGGCGTGGCCGCGTCGCCGGGCAGCCCGCGGAAGCCGCCCGGCGTCGCGGCAGCCGCCGGCGGCGACGGCGACCGGCCGACGCCGCGTCGGCCGGTGAACGGCTCGTTCGTCGTCTTCGACGCCTCCAGCCGACCCCGCACGCTAGCGAAGAGGGACGAGACGCGCTGTCCACCGCGCCGCAGTGCGTGCTGGCCGATCCTGCACGTACTGGAGACGCCGGCGAACGTCTCGCTGGGGCGGCGCTCTCTGAAGGAGCGTCCGAGCGCGCGCCATCTCCTGCGGAATGTGGCGCCACAGTCCAGCGCGTCTCCGGTGCGAGGAAATCCTCGCCCGCCGTCTTGCATCCTCATTTCACTTCCGGAGCCGTGCACACGCATAAGGCCGCCGACGAAGCGCGAGCCGCCCCTGGGAAAACGCCCTCGTCGGCCGATTTCTCATTGGCATTCCGCGCTGAGAACGGCGGCGGCGCGCGCACAGGAAAAGTTCTGCGCCAAATTACCGATGCTGTTGCGTCTCCGCCTGCCGCCGGCAGTTTCGGCGAGTGTCGTGAGAGGGCGTGCCGGCAGCGGCGGCCGAGGAGCGGCACCGGGGTTCGGCACGTGCGCGGCGCTTTCTCGGGCCCGATCCCAGCCCCGAGCCACGCCTTCGCGTCGGGAACACGCAGAGGGCGGCGCGCGCTGGTGAGCCGAACGCGCTTGTGAGTGCGGCGCGTTGGTGGCGGCGAGACGGCGCTAGCAGTGGTCAGGGACGGATGTCAGATGGACGCGGCTGTTCATCGCTCATCTCAGGCTGCCCAGCAGCTTCGTCAATGCTAACACGTGTTTGGCGCCGCTGTGTGTGCACTTTGCAGATGTCAACGAAAATGTGATTGAGGGGCGGTGGAAATAGTTGGCAGATTACAGCAGCTTATCGAAATAACACGCAACTTGCATCTGCATCGCATCAGCAAACTGCAAAAATCCAAGGCCACATCATGCTAGCCGCAAGAGCGCGTCTCGGTAAAAACACCGTTCTCCAGCTGGTGCATTCCTCAGCGTGCATGTCGGCTCTGCTCAGCTGGGCTCCGTTGTTGTGTCGGCCTTGACGGCGGATCAGTGGCCGGACAATCCAGCGCCAGTCGTCTGGCGGCGTCCGACGAGCCAGCCGACCCCGGCGCGTGCGCCAGCTCCTCGAGCGGCCGCCGAACACCCCGCGGGGCACCGACGCTACACTCCTTGAACGGTGCCTGGCGGGGACGTGGCCGGTCGCAAACAAAAACTGGGCGCGGCGCCGCCGCCGCCGCCGCCGCCGCCGCCGCCGCCGCCGCCGCCGCCGCCGCCGCCCGGTGGGCCGGGAGGGCCCGGCTCCGGCGCGGCCGCCGGCCGGTCGGACGGGTTCGGCCGCCGTCGGTTGACCCGCCGCTGGTACAGACAGCGGACCCTGCACCGGATGGGTCGCTCGCCAGCCGGCGCGAGAGCGGTCACCGGGGTCACTGGGGGCGGCGGACTCCCCGATCGGTGACGGAGGACTCCCTGATCGATGACGGTGGGCTCTCCAGTCGGTGACAGCGAACTCTCAGATCGGTGGCGGTGGACTCCTCGATCGGTGACGGCTCATTCTCAGATCGGCGATGGCGGACTCTCAGATCGGTGACGGTGGACTCCCCGATCGGTGACGTGGGGGCTACACTTGGCCTGAGATCAGGTGCTTTTAAAGGGCTGGTCTTCACTTCGCGACGTCCTCATCGTTATCACTGGGCCTCGCTGTTCTCACCCCGACAGTCGGGTGGCACGGGGCTTCACTGAGGCGGCCGAGGGGCTTCACTATCAAAACACTGAGGCTTTAACGGCCGTCGAATCGACTAAGGCAGCTGTCAGCTGTCACACCACGCAGCTCAGACGTCACTCCGACAGGCACTCCCGGTCACTCCGATGGCTGCTCCGTTGTTCGCGTGAAGGGCGTGTCAGAAGGTCACCCGGCATCCGATGGTCACTGCTAACCGTTTCAATTCGGGTGCCAAAGTCTACATTGCCATGGTTGATCCAGTGCTTGTTTTTCTAGCCTTGCGCCTTTCTTCAGCACGTGTTGAAATTTTCACTCCTCGCGCTCGCACGCAACGTTGCGAGCTTCAGCGACGCCTCGGCACAGGCAGCCACACCTGCTCTCAGGGGACACCAGCCAACCACGTCTGCCACCCAGGCACGCGCGACCGGCCGGCGCAGCACAACCTCCTCTCCGGGGACACCGGTCAGACACTGTCCGCCGGCCAGCGCGACGCAGATGCGACCAACATCTGGCGCAGAGGCCGTTTACGATGAAAAATTGGCTCGTTTCCCACGCTGGCGCCGGTGGCGGCGGTGATCGAAGCAGCAGCTGGCGCGCCTGAGAGTGAGCGCCAGCCTGAGCTGACGGCAGTGGCGTCCTCTGGAGGGGGGGGGGGGGAGCACAGGTGGACGGCGTCACTGACGACGGATATGACCGCGTAACGGATCAGGGTGTGCTGGCGCGGGGGCAGGCGGTGAATGAGGACTTGGTGGCACAAACAATTAACGACTCTTATTGCTTCGTTCTCTTGTTGGCGCATGCAGTATTGTGTTCGGTGTTTAACAGAAAAGGCGAGTACATCATGACATAAGGGCTCGACTTGCCTCCAGTTCGCCGGTTTTAATAGTTATAGCGATAAAGACATATTTTCTCACATTCTTTAAAATACAGAGGATACTATACGACTTGTTGCAGTGTAAGTCGGTATCATAGGCGACAACGCTCTTCTTGTCACAGGGCTTGTGGCTGCCAAGTTAGTTTACTTTTTCATTCCTGCTACAACAAACACTAATTACCAGTTGAAAACGGACTCAACCCAAGCCAATCCCGAATAACCAATATCTTGTCCCTTTACTACCTTGTTGTCACCCGCAGTTCTGTGGAATAAAGACTGTCATAGTGAACCACGAGAATATGCGCAAATTTGCGTGCATTTATCTCGAAAATGGGTTTCTGGTAAGCCCTATGCTCTTTTATTTCAATGTCACCATGGCCGGACAACGAGATCCTTACCACGCCACTGTCTTGGCTTGGGCCATAACACATATGAATTAAAAGCTTGTCGTGAAAGAAGCTTACACGATACTTACACAATGCTGTTCGTCTTTAAGATCCCAGCTTAAATATGGCAAATATGGTATGTATCATGTGATTTATGGTATTAATTGTAAAAACAAGAGCTTTTACCATCTTCTTCCAAAATACATTGTTTTTACATGAGCCCAAGGGTGGATAGAATGCGCAACTTGCTCGTAAACTCCCGATAAATCAAGTGGTTCAAACTGTAGTATTACACCATAATCACGATAAAGTTCTGATTTTCTTGGACAATTATGGGAAACTGTCGATATTTCAACATCAACAATTATCACGATTCAAGTGGTAATTACGGGTATGTGTGAATTTAATCAGTAGGACAGAGAATTGTCCATTTTATGAGCAAGGACATAGCTCTTATCGTGTTATGAGCTATTTTCAGCTTGAATAAATTCACAAGACCGCACTCCATTAACAAAAGTCCGTGCACTGACCATAATCCATTCAGCAACCAACTGAATGACACCCATGCAGCCAATACATAAGCCATTCAATACCAGTGCATCCCGGACATCAACAGCCCAGCTGTTGCAGCCTCCGCTACACGAGGTAGCCAATATATACGTCATGCGATACGAGCGCGTCCCGGACATCAACAGCCCAGCTGTTGCAACTTACGCTACACAAGGTAAGTGCACGGTCCACTGCAGAGCGGTTACATCCCCGGAGAGAATCGCATGGCATCGTTCACTTCCACTGCCTGCCACGCATGGCTGGGCGCAGCCACTTTCTCCGCGCAAAATCCGCTCCGGCGCTCGGCTGAAGTCTTTTCTTGCCAGATCAAGCGCGTAGTGAGAAATCTGTAGCAAGCGGTCCGAATATCGAGAGACATTTCCCTCGTACATTGAGGGACTTTCGTTCGAAGCGCGGTGGACC